GAGAGTGCAGCGGCGAGGCACCAGCGGAGCGACCACGGAGACGGCCGCTCCAGGGAGACCGCTCACCAGACGCCTCAGCGCCCCCAGGTGCAGCACCCCCAGACGCAGTACCCCCAGACTCCTCACGCCCAGGCTCAGCACCTCCAGTCTCCGCACCCCCAAGCTCCGCACCTCCAGGCTCCGCACCCCCAGGCTCCGCACCTCCAGGCTCAGCACCCCCAGGCTCCGCACCCCCAGGCTCAGCACCCCCAGAAGCAGCACCCCGAGCAGGACCACCCTCAGCAGGACCTGAGTCACCAGTGACCTCAACCGGCGCAGTCAAGGGAGGAGGGTCTACCTGAGACACACCTGAAGGAGCAGGACCGGGAGCGGGGAGGGGGTCTACCTGGGGAGCACCTGGAGTGAGGAAGAGCGGCGGGGGGGGGAGAGGGGCAGTGCGGTAGGGGAAGAGACGGTAAAAGGGAACCGACTCGTCGAACGTGACGTCCTGAGAGGGGAAGACACGACGCGAGGTGGGGTGGTAAAACTGCCAACCAGGCGCGTCAGGGACAAAGCCAAGGAAGACACAGGGAACAGCGCGGGCGGAGAGCTTGTCCGCGGTGGTATCGCGGACAAAGGCACGAGCACCCCAGACCCGGAAACGCGACGCATCGCCAACCTTCCCCGTCCACAGCAGTGTGGGCGAGGTCTCCAGTAAGGAGACACGGGGCCAGAGGTTGAGCTGATGCGTGGCGTACCGGACCGCAAACGGCCACAGAAAATGGGGGGCAGCCGCATGGATCATGGAGGTACGAGCGACCTCCATGACTAAGCCAATGCGGCGCTCAGCAACCCCATTCTGTTGCGGAGAGGCCGGAAGCGTGAACGTCTGGCGGATGCCGTGCTCCGCACAGAAGGCTGCCAAGAGGTCTGAGGAGAACTCACCACCTCTGTCAAAGTGCAGACGCAGGACAGGAAAGTCCGACTGGAACCGCTCGCGGAGCTGGAGACGAGCGCGGATCCAGGGGATCAGAACATCAGGGACCTCCCCGTTGCGCTGCAAGGGGAAGACCGTGGTGTAACGCGTGTAGTCGTCGACGACCAGCAGGAAGTACCGCTCGTGGCCCTGTCCACGGACGCGGGCTGGGTCCCACACGTCCAGGTGGAGAGTCTGCAGGGGAGCCTCTGTGGGAGGGAACGAGGAGGAGTGAGGAGCGGCGCGCTGCCGCCCCTCGACACAGGGAAGACAGGGAGGAGCAGGCGAGGGTGGTAGAGGAGGCAGAGTCTCTGGAAGTCCAGAGACAAGGAAACGGCGGTGCATGCTACGAAGGCGCTGCACCGAGGGGTGACCAAGGCGGTGGTGCCAAAGGAGGGTCTGGTGCGACAAAGCTCGACACGAGCAGGGGGCCGCTAGCTGACCTGACGCAGACGCAGACGCAGCGACCTGAGGGGACACAGTAGTCAGTGTGTACAGACTCGAGCCAGGCGCACGAGTAAACGTGGCCAGATGCCGGCCCGTCCGGGAGCACGTACAGTGGGTCACGCGCTGACCTCCAGGAGTGAACTGGTCAACCCACTGGTCCTGGAGGTCAGCACCACCCACCAAGTTCGTAGAGAACGAGGGGAGGTGAAGACCTGACAGGAAGCCAGACGGGACCGCCGGACACGGCAGGACCGTGGAGGAGTGCGCAAGGACTGGACCCCCAGACGGGTCTGCCAGGGAGACTGCAACCGGCCGACGGAGCGGCGTGAGGGTGGTGCTGTTGCGAAAGAAGGAGCGGGAAGCACCTGAGTCAAGTGTGAAGGTGTACAAGGCCTCAGCAGGCGCAGTACCAGAGAGAGCAGACTCACCAGCACCTGGAGCAGCAGCCTCACCAGCACCTAGAGCAGGAGACGCACTAGCACCTAGAGCAGCAGCCTCACCAGCACCTAGAGCAGCAGGCTCTATACCTGGGTCAAGCGGTACGCACAGGTAACAGGCACGGTCAGCACTAGTAGGCAATGCATACATGGCAGTGAGAATAGCATCATACTCAAGAGCAAAGATATCTACCCTCTGCTCAAGCAGCTCCAGCCAGGTGGGGAGCTCAGCCTCGTCGCCAAACTCGGTACGCCAGGCGTCGCTCAGACGGGCGAAGCAGCGGGACTGTGTGTGACCAAGCGTCCCGCAAGCCTGACCAGCCCGATCAACTGTGCGAACGACGTACGTGCAGCGAACGGTACTCCGAGACCCTCTACTCTGAGCGTACCACTCACGAAGCTGCCGAGGCGTAAGTGTCTCGCGTGGACGCCGCTGCAGGTGCAGCTGGCCACTGCCAGACGCTCCCGACTGACCAGCTCCAGGGCGACAGCCACGACTGCTACCGGCACAACCCCAACTAGCGTACCACTCACGAAGCTGCTGGGGCGTGAGAGACTCACGCGGACGTCGCTGGAGCTGCATCTGGCCACCGCCAGTAGTAGCAGTAGCAGTAGCAGTAGCAGTAGTAGCAGCAGCAGCAGCAGCAGCAGCCTAGCAGTAGTAACAAAAGGAGTAGCAGTAGCAACAGTAGCAGCGCGGGCAGGGCAGGCGCGGCAGGCAGGCAGGCAGGCAGGCAGGCAGGCGTGGCAGGCCGGCAGGCAGGCAGATGGCGCGGCAGTGCGCGAACAAGGCAGGTGCTCACAAGTGGCGGGAAGGGCAGGCGCACGACGGCGGCGACGGCGGGGCCGCGACAGCTGCGGCAGAGCAGGGCCGCGTCGGCGGTAGGGCAGGTCCGCGACAGCTGCTGCAGGGCAGGGACGTGACGGCTGCAGGGCGGGGCCGCGACCGCGGCAGGAGGCTCCGCGGCAGCTGCTGCAGGGCAGGGCCGCGACGGCGGCAGGAGGTTCCGTGGCAGCTGCTGCAGGGTGGGGCCGCGACGGCGGCAGAAGGCTCCACGGCAGCTGCTGTAGGGCGGGGCCGCGACTGTGGCAAGGCGCTCCGCGGCAGCTGCTGCAGGAGCGACGGCGGCAGTCAGGAAGGGGCGGCGTCCAGGGGGGGGGGGGGGGGGGGGGGGGTCGCGACGAACAGGGGCAGCCGCGGCGCGCGGGGCTGCAGCGCGCTACGCGAGCTGCGGGCGCAGCGCGCGAAGCCGCCGCGGGCTGCGCGAGGACGGCAGCCGCGGCGCGCGGGGCTGCAGCGCGACGTGCGGGCAGCGGACGCGACTCGCGGGGCTGCAGCGCGACGCGCGGGCAGCGGACGCGACGCGCGGGGCTGCAGCGCGACGCACGGGATGTGGGCGCGACGCGCGGGGCGGCGACCTGGCCTGACGCGTCAGCGACCTGGCGGGGCGGCGCTCTGGCCTGACGGACCTGCAGGGGCGGCTCGCGGGCCTGACGTGTCTGCAGGGGCGGCGCGCGGGCCTTACGGGCCTGCAGGGGCGGCGCTCTGGCCTAGGGCAGCAGTAGGCAGCGCGAGGGCTGCAGGACGGCGCGCGCAGCGCAGCACGTCACAAGGCAAGGCAGGCAGGCAGGCAGGCGCAGGACAACACGTGGGGTAACGCGGTAACCGCAACAGTAGGTGGGCCCGAAAAAAAAAAAACGGTCCTACGGACCTAGTGCTCTGAAACCATGTTAGAATCTAGCAGCAGGAATGATTGAACTATGAAAGTATTGGGTACAAATATGAAACCCTAAAAGGGGCTGTACCCCATATTGGCTACCCCACTACAGCCTACACATATATAACATGCATATACTTTGACAGCTGTGAGGGTGGCGAAGTACCTGGCGACTACATCAGGCATGGGGCTTGTGCTTGGAGGGACTCAGCCACTGGCGTTGACTGGTCACTGCGACTCTTCCTACGCTGACGACGTGGAGACTCAGCGCTCGACTCAGGGTTACTGCTTCAGTCTGGGAGCTGGTGCTGTGTCGTGGAGGTCTACACGGTCGTCGTCTGTGGCTACTTCCAGTGCAGAGGCAGAGATCTACGCTGGTGCCATGGCGGCACAGGAGCTTCGCTGGTTGACCTTCTTGCTCGCCGACCTTGGTGAGCGGCCTCGCTTTGCACCGACCTTGTACGCTGACAACAAGGCCATGATCCTCCTGTGTCGAGAGCCTCGACTGGAGAGCAGAGTGAAGCATATTGACGTGAGGTACTTCCTCCTGCGAGAGCTGCAGCGACGCGGCCAGGCACGCCTGGACTTTGTGGCCTCAGAGGCCAACACTGCAGACGTCTTCACCAAGGCCCTGGCGCTTGGTGACCACCACAGGTTCTGTGTGCAGTTGGGGCTTGTTGAGGTAGGCCCTCGGTTGCTGTAGACTTGTTACTTGCTCTGCTTGTTGTCTTTTCCTATATATATCATAGTGAACTCTTGAACTGGCCTTGTGGCCGTTTGCTTGTACTTGGAATTTGTGTGGTGTCCTCGAGATCCACCCTGAGCTTGCCTTGCTTCTTGTCTTGACTGGTCTTGTGACCGTTTGTCTGCCTTGCTTGTTTTGATGCCCCTCACTTAGCCTATGGGGGTGTGTCAAATATAATAGTTATAGGCTGTAGTGAGTTGCATTATAGAGGGTACAGATGCTAGAGTTTCCTATTTGTATCCAACACTTTGCTAGTTCATGCATTCCGTTGTTCGCTAACTTTGAGAGAGGTGTATGCGTTGTCAACACATGCCTGCTTCGTTTAACTCATCCGCCAGCACTTGCTGACTCATGGCTCAGATGCCAGCTCAAATGTTCAGAATGGTATCTGCCGAAAGTGAGACATTGATTGGACAGTCAGAATTGAAACAACAAGAACAAAAATCGCTTGTCTGGCTCTGGTAGGATCACTTGTCTACAAAACCCTTACATTTCTTCACTTCTCATGCCCCTTCAAGGCCCTCCAAGGCATCCCAATCTCCAAATATGTCCCACCACTTTCACACCAATCCCATCCTTAGCTAATCAGGAGGGATACACTACACAGCTAATCCTCGTGGCATTGTTCACCATGCTGCTATCTCCCAACACCAGCATCCAGCCACCTGCAGTCGCTCATTCATCAAACCTCTGATGGCTCACCCCCCTCCCTCCTCCCCCTCCTCCTCCCCTCCCCCCTCCGCCACCTCCCCTACCTCCTCCACCGTGCCCGTCTCTCCTCCCCCACCGACCTCCACCTCTCCCCCGCCCTCCTCTCCCGCCACCCCTGCCTCCCCTCCACCCCCGGCCACCACCTCTGCAGGTGTAGAGGATGTGCACAAGAGAAGGAAATAAAAAGAGTCACACAAGCAGCCAGCACTTTAGTAAGTGAAGATGTGATAGGACCACCAGAGAGGAAAAGAGTGCGGGAGCATGACATTTGAGGTTGTGGAGTGGAGCCAAGGTTTGGTGTGCGTGCGAACGTGGGTGCGTGCGTGATGTGCTGCAGTGGGTGCGTGTGACAGAAAGAAAGCGCAAGGGAGCGGTTTCGGGGAACAAAGGAGAAAAGGGACGGCAAGATCCAGGAGCATCTTCGCTCACCCAAAAAGGTGACTTTCTAGTCGACTCAAAACTTACCGGAAGCCACCACCACCGAATCTGCCCCCCCCGAAGTCCTTGCGCTTCTTCTGCCCGTCCCTCAGCTTGCTCCAATACGCTGCCTCCTCCTCCCCTGCTCAACCACAGCGTCACACACACGCGAAACACAGCTCTCCATTCAGGCAAAGGCAGAAAAGCAGCGGCGGCAGCAGCAGCAGCAACAGCGGCGGCAGCGGTGGCGGCAGTGGCAGCAGAGCAGCGAAGCAGCTCGACCCACCATCGAGAATGTTGACGGTGACAGGATAGCCCTTGATGGTGAGCGCAGCAGGGGCTCTTCGAGCATTAGGGAGAATTTGAATATACCAAAGAAACAGCAGGAGCCAACCCACCATCGAGAATGTTGACAGTGACAGGATAGCCCTTGATGGTGAGCGCAGCAGGCGCCGACTTGGCCTTGTTATTGGCCTTGATGGGCCCCTCAGGCGTCTCAAAGCGGATGAAGCCAGTCAGGTCCCCAGCCTTGTACTCCACAAACTACCGTGAGGGAGCGAAAGGGAGGGGAGGGAGGGGGATGGGTGAAGCAGGAAGAGGGTGGTGGGACGCGAAAGAAAGGTGACTTTCGAGACAACAAAAGAAAAAAAAAATCTCAAAGCGGACGAAGCAAGAACATGCAGCAGGCATGGCTTGACGCACAGCCATGCCATGGTGCATGCCATGGCATGGTGCACAGCCATGCCATGGTGCATGCCATGCCGCTTGTAACAGACTCTGAGACATCTTAAACAGATCCTGAGACGCCTCAAAACTGCAGATACGTACGGACGCAGGCATGGTGGTTTCTTACCACTGGGAATTGAAAAAGGCTTTCGAAAGACCCACCTTAACGATGCCAAACTTTTCAAACACGAAGCGGCACTCCTCTCGGGTCACCCCTTCTGCCACAACACGCTCCTCCCGCTTCCTCTTGCCCAGAGCCTCCCCCTCCGCATCCTTCTTCTCCCCCTCCGCCTTCTCCTCTGGCTTATCCTCTGCCTTCTCTTCTGCCTTCTCCCCATCTTTTTTCTCGTCCTCTTCTTTCTTCTCATCCGCTTTCCCCTCTGTTGCCCCTTCCACCTTCTCTCCTTCCTTCGCCTTTTCCCCTTCCTTTACATTCTCCTCTGCTTTCTTCCCTTCCTCTTCCGCTTTCTTCTCCACCCCTGCTGCATCCGTCATCTCTTCATCCCCTTCCTTCTTCTCCTCCGCCTTCTCCTCTCCTTCCTTCTTCCCCTCCTCTCCCTTCTTCTCCTCTTCTTCCTTCTTCCCATCCTCCCCCTTCCCCTTCTCCCCATCTCCATCCCCATCACCCCCAACAGGCACCACGACAGTGTAACCCAGAATCAACCCCTTAGGATAAGCATCCTCCTCCTCCTCATCCTCCCCCCCCTCCGCGTCCGCGCCCTCTCCGCCCTGCGCGCCCTCCCCGTCCGCGCCTCTCTCTCCGCCCTCCTCCACGCGCCTCGCCTTGGCAGGCGGGCGCAGGTCCACGTCGCCGTCCTCTGCCTCGAACCGCCTGCAGGGCAACGCAGAGCAAGACGGGCAGGGCAGGGCAGGGCAGGGCAGGGCAGGGCAGGGCAGGGCAGGGCAGGGCAGGGCAGGGCAGGGCAGGGCAGGGCAGGGCAGGGCAAATCAGGAAGGTAAGGCACTGGGAGGGAGTGAGGGCCTTGGCGGGCGGGCGCAGGTCCACGTCGCCATCCTCTGCCTCGAACCGCCTGCAGGACAATGCAGAGCAGCCAAGGGTAGTGGTGCAGGCCAGGGCAGAGCAGGGCAGGGCAGGGCAGGGCAGAACAGAGCAGGGCGGGGCGGGGCATTGGTGGGGAGAGAGGGGCATGAGGGGTGAGGGAGGACATGGAGGGGCATTGAGGGGTATACGTCAAAATTTGTGAATGAAACAAGTGGAATGAGCTGAGCGGGCAGAGCAAGGGATCGGCAGCAGCAGCAGCAGCAGTAGCAGCGACTCACCCGGCTTCCTCTCCCTTCTCCGCAACACGCTTCTGCCACTCCTCCCTCGCCTGCTGCAGCCACTCGTTCCTGCAAAACGGGACAAGACGAGATAAGTTGAGACAAGAGGAAGGTTGAGCATGGACATCCACATCCACAGCACAGCACAGCACAGCACCGCAGAGCAGAGCAGAGCAGAGCAGAGCAGAGCAGAGCAGAGCAGAGCAGAGCAGAGCAGAGCAGAGCAGAGCAGAGCACAGCACAGCACAGCACAGCACAGCACAGCACACCACCACAAAGCACAAAGCACAACACCGCAAGGCACGCACTTGGGCTGCAGCAGCAGGGTGGCGCCGTTGAAGCTGACGTCCTTCTTGGCGGCCACGAGGCGCATGGCGTCCTCTGAATCAAGCACACCACACCACACCACACCACACCACACCACACCACACCACACCACACCACCGCACAGCACCGAACGGGACTCACTTGGGCTGCAGCAGCAGGGTGGCGCCGTTGAAGCTGACGTCCTTCTTGGCGGCGACTAGGCGCATGGCGTCCTCGGAATCAAGCTCCACGTACACGGACCCCTTGAACGCCTTGGACGCTGGGTGGCGCCTCATGCACACACTCTTCACCTGTTGGGTGGGGAGATGGAAGGCAGGCAGGCGAGACGGGGAGGTATTAAGGAGGGCAGCGGGGTGACTGGACGCTGGAGGCCCATGAGAGGCGGTGAGGAAGGCATGGCATGGCATGGGATGATCTCTCCTCACATGGTGGGAGAGAGGGGAGGAGGGGGGAGGGGGTGGAGGGAGAGGGAGGAGTGAGTGGAGGTCGGATGACGGCGAGTGGCGTTGAGGAAAGGCATGGCATGGCGGCGACTAGGCGCATGGTGGGATGCAGGCAGGCGAGACGTAGAGATATGAAGGAGGGCCAGGGGGTGACTGGACGCTGAAGGTCGATGAGAGGCGCTGAGGAAGGTATGGCATGGCATGGTATGGTATGGTATGGGATGGGGTGGTCTCCCCCCACATACTGCTTCTCTCCTCCCCTCACACGTACCGGGCCGAGCGAGGAGAAGAAGGCGTGGATATCGTCGAGCGTGGAGTTCCACTGGAAGGGCTCCGCGTACAGCGAGCGCGCGTTGATCTCCGCTATGCGCTCCTTCCCCATCGCCACCTCCCCCTCGCGCCCAACCAGCTTGCCTGATGGCGGAGAGGCGCGGGAGGAAGAGGGGAGAGATGGTGGCGGAGAAAGGGAGGAAAGTGTTAGGAGAGAAAACGGGAACTTTGCAGGGGGGAGAGTGGAGGGAAAGGAGGAAGGGAGGGACGGGAGGGGAAGAAAGGAGGAAATCGACAGAGCCCGAGCCTCTCACGCAAGTCAGTCCAAAAGTCCTTTGGAAATCTCCCCCGGAGCATCCCTCCACCCCGCTTTCCCCATCCCCCCTGCTCCCCCTTCCCCCCTCCCCACTTCCCGTCCTTCTCCGCCCTCCCTGCCCAGCCCCCCCGGCTTACCGCTCCCCCCTCCCCCCGTTCTCTCCCCCTTTCCCTTCACCTTCCCCCCCCTCCCCCTTCCCCCCGCGCGCACCATCGTCGGAGAACTTGAGGAAGGTGGACGCCTGGAGCACCTCGTAGGTGGCGCGCACGAGGTGCGCGGGCACGGGCGCGTCGGGGAGCACGCCCAGGTGCTTGCGCATGCGGGAGAACGTGCACAGCAGCGCCAGCGGCACGACTGCGCAGGGGGAAGAGCGGGCGCGCGGGCGGACAGGCGGACGGGGGGGGAAGGCAAGACGAGAGGGTGGATGAGAATGGGCACGGGGAAAAAAAGGGAAATGGTAGGGGGAAGGCAGCGGGAAAGGGAGGGAGGGAGGGAGGAGCGGCAGGGAGTGGAAAGAAACACATGGAAACAATCAAACAATCGTTCATAGAAAGAGAAAAGGCAGAACAGAATGATGTTCATTATAAAGACAGAGACGAGAGCGGGGTATAGAAAGGCAACAGCACGGGTCGCAGAGCGAGTCCGTGCACTCGACTCGACTTCATGCTCTCCGTTCAGTTCAGTCCATGACTGACCATCTCCATGACAAAAACGACGCACAGCGGGTTTAGGGTGGCGCGCCCGTCTCCCCACATCATCCTCTCTCTCACTCGATTTACATATCACCAAACCTCTCAACCTCTTAACATTCTAAAACCGGCTCTAAACCCGAACCCCTCCAGGTGGACACATCTGAATGGCACATCCATTTCCTCTTGGGCATCCCGGCATAAACCGCCGCGGGGAGGATAGGCCACAGAGTGCCCTCCTCCCTCATTCCCGACAACAGATCAACCAAAACCCTTCCTCACTTTCCCAATGACATAGTCTTCTAGACTTCTCCCCCATCCCCTCCCCGTCCCATTTCCTCTCTCCCCTCCATCCAGCCTCCCTTCCCTCCCTCCCCCTCTCCCCCCCGGCCCCCACCCTTCCGCGAATTGACTCACATCCGTTGCCCTCCTGCAGCTTCTCCTGCATGAAGCGGTCGCGCGGCAGGTTGCTGTCGCTCAGATAGTACTCCACCTGCAGGGACGAACGGCCCGACAACCCGGGATAGGCGCGGACGCGCGCGAACGAACCATGCGCGGATCGGCGCGGAGAACAGGGGAGAACATGGAATCGGAAGTCAGGTCAGGGTTTAGGGTAAGAAGTAACGACACACAACACCGTCGCAAAGAAAATACTTTGTGGACCGGGCCGAAGGAGCAATCGGGAGAACGAATGGTGCCGAGAGTAAAGAGAGACCGTGTGTACCGGCTCAAAAGCACGTGTGCGCGCACAAGCGCAAGGATGCACGCGCGCACGCACCTGGCGGAGGATCTCTGCGCGGGTAGCGGCGTTGAAAGCCGCGGCATTCTTCTCTCCCTCGCCCGCTTCGCCCTTGGCCGCCCCACCCTCTCCCTCCTTGCTCTCCGCACCAGCACCCGCCGCAGCCGCAGCAGGCGAAGGCGCAGCGGCCGCAGCAGGCGCAGCATCTGCGGCGGGCTTATCCTTTACAGCGGCGGGTTTATCCTCTCCTGTAGCGGCGGCGGCCGCGGCGGGGGAATCAGTGTCGTTAGCAGCGGCCGATGCGTCCATGGGGGTGGGCGTGGCTTCCGCATTAGTGGTCGTCTCCTTCTGCGCCTCAGCCTCCGTGGATCCTGTCATGGTTCCTTTCGCGCTGCCCTACCACTCGTCTTTCTCTCTCTCGCTCACTCGCTTATTCACTCACTCACTCACTCACTCACTCACTCACTCACTCACTCACTCACTCAATCAGTCAATTAGTCAATCAGTCACTCCGGCCTTTAGTATAGAGGGAGCAAGATAAAGGCCTAAACAGAAAGGTGCCTGACTTCAAGCTGGTCAGAGAGGGTGGAAGAACCCAGCCAGTGCCAAGAATGGTGTGGTGGGGTACAGGGCAGGGGCTATTGTAGTCGGTGGTGGGATGGAGGGAGAGGGGCGGGAAAAAACCGTTTGGATCAGAGGGGAGGCGTGTTTTGCCGAGGTGTTGCACTCTGCACACCACCTTGGCTTCGAAGGAGCAGGGTTCAAGCGAGGGTTTGACATGCCCGATAAGGTTCAACGCATACAACAGCAGATGCGGGAACTAACTCCATCATAATGTCTTACGCTCGAAAACTTTCAATGCCAAAATATATATTGCACAACCATTACAACAAAATTGTGGAGACCACACCTGTACAATGAGCATCTATGAGAAAGATCGTCCATGTAAGCTACTTGGCTCCATCGCAAGCTTCTTGCAAAAACTCCATCATCCTTGTTATCACTTGGCGCATCAGCGTGTGTGAGAAGAGGGGCGTGGGATAGACGTTTGAGAGGTGCAACCCATCTTCACGCAAGGAATCAAAAATAGCAAAACACGGTCCAACACCGTGAACAGAGGAGCAGCCAACATAATCTTCCACACCCAACCTTTCCACAAATCTCTGCAAGGCGCAGCAAGGAAAAAATGGCATGAAGTCACTACGTGGCTCACAGAAGGCAACACACCCACAATGGCATTGCATTTTCCATGAACCGAAACTTATGCCTCCTCACCTGCATCCTTTCATGCAGGGCGTCAAAGAAGGAGCAGACAGTGGACGTCCGCAAAGAGCTTTCTGGGGTGAGCTGGGGATGCAAAATAGCCTGCACATTGTAACAGCAAGGGATATACGGTAAGATGAAGAGAAGGTACTTGAGGGTACATGAAAATGCAGGTGCCATGATATGTCATCAATAAATCTTCAGTGTTTCTTCCTCTCTCCTCACCTGAGCCATGAGCATGTTGAGGTCACCCATGTCAGTGTAATGCTTTCGATTCTTGATGGCATGCAGAGTAGACTCATGGCACCGCTTTGCAAGGTCCCAGAATCCAGAAGTCTCGCTCACTTGATGTGTATGCATCATGGCCGAATGGTAGAACCCTGCAGCAAGGGAGGTGCAGAGGTCAGTGTAGAGAGGTGGGAACCACCAGACCAGGCATAGAAAAAATCCCCTTCATGCAGAGAAGGCATTTTTGAGTATGCTGCATGGGTCAACAATTAAACACAGAATTCGTTCTGAGGTTGCTGAATCAGCGAGTTCCACAAAAACAGAAACTTTGTGAAGAAAGATGGCAATTGCAATAAGCAGATGAAAGAAAAACAGAACCATACCAACAGTGTCCAAGGTGATCTCATGGGATAGCAATGGACGGCAGTCCAAAAACGTGGTGACAGCAAAGTGTTCTCCCTTGCGACCCAGCTCCTTCACACTGGCCACGGCTTTCAGTGCTGCACATGCCACTGCTCCAAAAATGGTTACGTTGTGCTTCTCACATGCCTGCACGTGATCGAAACAAGAATCAGTTAAGACAAAGTTTTCGATAGCGGGGTCACTGAATGAGAACATGATACGAAAATCAGGAATGCCGGCGGTGTTTGAGGGTGCAAGTCATCACCCGCTTGAGCCTTTCAGTGTCAGACTTGCTGAGACCAGATCGTATAAGAGCAGACTGACGCTCTGATGAGGAATCATGAAACGGAAGCCATGAATAACGCCGAGAGTTCAGCCCATATCCTGTGTTTAAAAAGAGGATGACAATGGCTTAGTTAACTCATGACACTAAGTATGGCGCTAGGAATCTCAACAGATTGGAGAACCACTGCTCGAAATCGAGATCAGGCCATGTCTAAAACGAGTTCAACAAAGCAGCCTCATGGACTTACCAACAACATCCAGCCCATGAGCCCAGAATGGCTTTCTGGAAAGTTCTGGAGGGATGCAGCTCTCTACATCCTTCAGAGTTGGCACTGGCAGCTCTGCCGTCTGGATCTTTGCAGACTGATCCTTGTCCTCGGGATTGGGCTCATTTCCGGAGCACTCGTTTGCGCTGCCAAGATCAGAGCGGCTTCCACTGCCATTGACTTCATCATCAAGGAAGGAAAGGAGATCCTCCACGATGATCCCAGCAGACTTGCGGTCGCACACAGATGTGTGTGCACGGAAAAGAATCAAGGAACGACCCTCGTGAAGCCTGTATGGGAGACCAGAAACCATAGGAACTAATCAGCCCAAAGGGAAAGAGCCGACCTGATCTGTTTCAAATTGGAAAAAAACCATGAAGCAACGCCATGGTCGACGTTTACCTGTACATCCTGAAGCACAGGAGGCTCGCGGCTTCCTCTCCAACGGACGTCTCGTCACACTTCCACGGCTCATTCATGGCGGATTCAACGATTCTCAGCCAGTGGTCCTGGCACAGACTCATCTTGAACCCGCTTCGCCCCGACTCGCTGCGTTCCATGCCCTCTTCTTCAGCAGCTATCTTGCCACCACCAACATCGATCGAACACCTCCTTCCGATCTCGAAGGAATCGTCCAAAAACTCCTCAGAGCCTTCCCCGTTACCGTCAATAGACGCAGCGATCGACTCGGGAATATTCTCAATCACGTCAACCTCCACAACGCCACTGGAGGTCGTCTGCAACGAAGAAAAGGCAAGGCACGCATAAGACTCAGTAGCCATCCATGTTGCTTCAGAATTTAAAAGAGCACTCATAAGCTGTTGCAACAAAGATCTCATCCTGAACAGCAACGGAGAGAGTTGGTAGAGTTTTTGCGCCAAGCATAGCAGCGCACCTGGAAGTGCGGGCGACCGTTGACGAACACAAGCTGCGAGAGCAGCCTGGGATGCTTCTTTTGAACGCTGTTCACCGCGTTCTGCAAAGCCTCGCGCGTCACCTCCATGCTGACGAGGACACCCACAACCGTGTTCCCCGTGCCTCCATTCACGGCTCGGAGCCAGTTCTGCAGAATATATAATAAGAAGCAATCCGAGGAGGAGAGCGAACCGGCACAATGCTGATAATATGTCTTGTGGACGCCAGTGACGGCACCGCAGAATTCGCGCAGCCACGAAAGAGCGGTTAGCGATTGCATTGGTTGCACTTGCGTACCTCCTCCGTGTTTCCGAGTGGCCGGCTGTAATCACCAAGCACCTGGCCGTCATGGGTAGGAGTGTCCGAGCTGATATCCGCGTTTCCCATAGTAGCGATGCCTTGGTATTACAGATTACGGAGCTGTAAGTAGATAACAGACGCTAACAGCGCTGGGGGAAACGCTTGCAGTGGAACCAGCGTTCTCGTTTACTCTGCTCTCTTTTCAAATACAAAAGAATAAGACGAGTCAGAATTCGTGGCTGGGACACTATCTAGGTTTTGCCTCTCACGGGTCGCAAGATGTCCACGCCAACCTTGCAACTAGGTGGGCCGACTCGCTTCCGTGAACCGTCGAAGGTCGGTTTTCAGGGACCCCCTTGGATTTGCCGAGCCTTGACACACAGGAGTCGGTGGAGTAAATATCGAGGACAAGGCAGTAAGGAAGGAGACGGGATGAAATTGGAGGGGGACAGGGAGGAGTGAGGGAGGGGTTGATGTCGGAGGAGAGGGGTGAACCCTGGTTGAGAGAGGAAAAAGCTGATTGGATGTGGTGAGCGAGGGGGGGCAGGTGATGAAGATTCCTCCCAAGCGTGAAGGCAATCCGCAACCCAAAGGACGAATTCCACCTGCATAGTGGCAAAATAGCTCCAAAGCTAGGGCAGGTGAAATTGACGTACGAATCACATCGTGCCAACGCATGCACCGTCACAACGAGGCGCGTTGTACTGCCCTAGGAGTCGCTCCCGAGTTTTTTGAAATCCCAAAGTGAGATGAGGTGGTTGGGATAATTCGAGGGCTATGGTGGTCCCAACGCAATCTGCTCGCAGATAGCGTTGCTGTCTCTGACGAGTTTTCGCGTGGCGGGGATGGAAGGGATATAGCTCGTTACTGCTTTCCTCTGTGTTTATATGCGGTTCGGGTAATGAGGAAGTCTGTATCATTGACGCAACAAAAGAAAACATAGTACATTGGCACTGATTGCCTTTGTGTAAAAAAACAAAAATGAAGAAAATCTGCAACATGTAATTTATTGATATTTTCACTTCTGCGGCAAATACAAAGTCTCATGATCCTAATGGAAATACTGCTATCATAACACTGCGACCACTAAGTGTTCTGTCATGTGCTCACTGCGTTTGCACATCTGGAAGACTGGAACACGTCTAATGTTCTGTTGGACCTTGCTTCACAGCAAGGTGGCAGCATTTTCCTGGCTGGTTCATGGCTGCTCTCGCGCTGATCCCATCACCTACGCCCCCGATTTCTTTATTTCGACCTCAATCCGTCTTGCCATTCGTCCCAGAGCCACGGCCGTCGTGTACAACGGTACCAACGGCGACCACCCAAGCAGCATTTTCCGCATTCCTGACACGACGTCAGTCACTGGTTACCAGCTTGGCGAACACTCGTCTCTCGCTGTCGCGGTCAGCCTTCGCGAGCTTCCGTTCTGCGTTGCAGCCGGCTTCTAGAGCGGCATCTAGACCGGCTCCTGCTTCCCTTCGTCCCGCCACCATTCACTCTGCCCTCTCCTTCTCCCACTTCTCCCACTCCTCCACTCCACTACTTACCTCTACTGCTACTCGACGCCACATCCTCTCTGCCTCACCCTTCCTGTCACAATCAGTTAGCTTTCTTAGCCACCTTGCGCCGTCCCTGCGCCGCCCTACTACCACCTACCCTGTTCCGCCTACTTCCACATCTTGTTCCGCCTTTCCGCCTCCTTCCCCCCACTCCATGCCCCCTTTCCCCCTGCCGACATGGCAATCCGCGCGCCTCCGGGGGAAACGGGGAGGGCGAAATGGCGCAACGGGGGAAAACGGTGGGAGTGTGGGGAGCATTGGAAGCAAGAGGTCTCAAGATTCGGAACTGAATGAGCTGAAGGAGGTGAAGGAGGTGAAGGAGCTGAAGGGTGTGAAGCAGGGGGTACTGGATGAAGTGGGGGAGAGTGGAGTGCAGGACTCTTCAGGAGCGTCGGAACGTCTAGTGAAAGCAGAGGGCGGAGAAGATGCTTCTGATCGGTCCCAAATTCTGCTGGACAAGATTCAAGTTCCTCCTGCTGTTTCTTCTCTTCAACCTTCTGCTGCCGTTGCTGCTGATGCTCCTGCTGCTTCTGCATCTGCTCCTGCTCCTCCTGATGCTTCCACTGACTGCATTGCTGCTGCTGACGTGCCTGTGAACAGTAGCACTGTTCAGAAAAGAAGAGGTAGAAGCAAAGTCAGTGGCAGTAGCAATGGCGGTGGCAGCAGCAGCAGTGGTGGGGATCTGACTCGGCATTACAGGCAGGTGAAGAAGCGGAGAGGAGGGGGAGGCATGCCTGGGGATGGTGGTGGAGAGATGTTAAAGCCCGTGAAGGAAGAGAAGGGGAAGCAGATTGCTGCACCTTCTCCCAAAAAACTAGCAGCCACACCTGCTTCTGCTGCACCTGTTGCTTCTGCTGCTGCCGCCGCCGCCGCTGCTGCCACTGCTGCGGCTGCTGCTACTGATCTTGCTGCAGCCTCTGCTACTGAAGCGCGTGCAGCAGCAGAGGTGGATGGCAGCGAGTGGCGGTGGCAGCAGCTGAGAGTGGAGCCGGGCGAGTTAGACCTTCACCTCACCTTCGCCACCGGACAGACCTTCAGGTGCACACGCATGATGGGCGCATGATGGGACATTTGAGGCGCCTTAGATTCTTTCAGGGCGCTTGATATGTACACCACCTGGTCGTTCAGGTGCTCGCGGCGGGCGCAGATGTGGGGGATTTGGGTGGGTGAGAAGGGGGGAGAGGGAGGGACGAGGGGATTGGGGGCTGGAAAAAGCAGGGAATTACGCTGTGGGCCAATTATTCGGCTGATGCATTCTAACAACCTTGCCATTGCCCTTCCCTTCTTCATGTGCGGTATCCATGTTTCTCGTTCTCTCCAGACACACACACACACACAGATGCACTCCCACACACACACACACACACACACACGCATGCACTCATAAGGCTCTTGATATATTGTCGCTGCCTTCTCATCGCTTGCCCCATGTAACCTTCCCTTTGTATCCACTCGCCTGTCTGCAAACAACGCATGTGCGGTCTCAGGTGGGTGGAAACAGGGCCAGGGGAATTCTCAGGTGTCGTGGCCAACCGCCTGGTCACCCTGCGCCAGGTGTGTATGCAGGCAGGCCATATGTTCCATCAAATAGAATCCTCTTGACTTAGCTTACTTAATCTCAAAGCATGCTCACACCATATCTCGTTCCAAGGCCCACCAGCACAATGCAACACCCACCCACCCACCAGGACCGCGCACAAAGCACGAGCACCATGCACCACCCACCACCCACCACGCACCTCTACCACCCATTCCCGACCACCCCGTGCCACTTTTCCTTCTCCTTGACTTCCCGCCCCTCTAGCCTGTGCCTCTGGGCCCAGTCTCGGTGCGCATCCACTCTCCCACTTCCCCGACCAAAGAGGAGCAAGGGGGGGACCAGGGGGAGAGGCAAGAAGAAGGGCGTTCCGATGCTTCTGTTAAGGTTGCTGATGGTCCACTGTCAATGGAACAAGGAAAGGATGGGGCAACGCGGCAAGCAGAGGGACGAGAAGAGGGAGGAGCAACAGAAGAGCACGATTCGGCTGTTCTGAGAGCAATGACTGCTAATGGGACTCATGCTGCTGCCGCTACTTCTGATCCAAGTCAAGAGTCGGGTTGTGAAGCAGCAGATGAAGCAGCAGTGATGTCTGCTTTGGAAGATTTGCTCAACCTCCATGTGAACACACTCGACTTGTGAGTCTGCAGGCTGCAGCATCCCTGCCTGGCAACTGTTGGCAGTTTCCTTACATGCAGTAAAATATTTTTTTTTTCTCTGTTTTTGCGCAGATTGTCTAGAAATATACGAGGATCATTGACCCTTCCTTGCTGCCAAGTACTGCCTTCTTTCCTTCCTTTCCGCTGCTGGAGCTACTGCTTTTGCTTGTGCTGTTGCTGCCGCTGTTGCCGTTCGCGGAAATTCCGCAATCTGCCGAGTTTGTGGAGTTTGTAAAGCACTGGAACTTTGCATTCAAGCACCCCCTTTTCATTCCACTGCCACTTCACCATCACCACTGCAGGTACCGTCAGTTTGCCGAGTGCGACACACACTTCTCGTCCCTCCTCCCCATGATCACCGGCTACCGGATACTCCGACAGGTGAGCTTTAGCCGACTCACGAATCCGACTGGTGACTCCCTCTCGTGCTCCTCCCCTCTCCCTCTTAACCATGTATGTCCAGTAAGTTCCACTCATCTGAACGCGTACCCTTCAAAGCGTGGTTCCTCCCTCCTCGTCGCCCATTGCATGCGTATGGCGACTTCTCAAATAGGCCTCAAAAGCCATCATTGCCTGCCAAGCATTCTCTTGCTCCTTTCGCCAGCTATGGTTTGAGGCGTACCGAAAAACACCTTGTCCACTTGGCTGTCTAGGTCAAACATCTTCTCTGCTTAGTGAGACACGGATAATTATCCAATCTTCTCTGCCTTGCCTAGACTCTGGTGCTATGCTTGAGTCTCCTTTTCTTCCTCAAACCCAAACCCAGAACCTGAAATCCTTTCTCTGTTTCTCTCCTTACCCATCCACGCCCCATCCACTCCTGCCCTCTACTACCCCTGGGTGCTACGGAGCAGGATCCAGTGGAGTGTCTATTTCAGTTCATCTGCTCCTCTAACAACCACATCTCCAGAATATCATGTCCGTAACCCCCCAACCTTGCTCCCCTCTTCCTCCCTCCATTCCTCCCTCATCAATCCCTCCCATTCCCCGCCCCACCTTCCCACCTTCCTTCGCTCTCATTTCATTCCTCCCTTTGTCCAGTCCTTTTTTTCACCCACCCCTTGTTGAGATTTTTTTGGAAGCAAGCTAACCATGGCTCCTCAAGGCTATTCCAACCTTTTACCACGTCTTCACTTCATTCCCCTTATTGCATGCATGCAGGACTGCATTAATTCGGAGCACACCAGCCCCCCACCATTCCCTTCCCTCCCTGTCTCTCCCCTTCTCTCCCTCACTTCTCTTCCCCCATTCCATCCCCCCATTCTTTCCCCCTGGTCTCCACCATGCCTGCATAACCACAGCCATGGTGGAGGTGTTGTCACAGCAGGGTCCCCTCGTATCCACCATCAACGGTCATCTCTTTTTTAGAACCTCGACCACCTCCCTCCCTTTCCCTCCCCTACTCTCCCCCCCGTTCTCCCCATAACCACAGCAATGGTGGAGGTGTTGTCACAGCAGGGTCCCCTCGTAGCCACCATCAACGGTCGTCCCTTCCACGCCTTCCCCTCGCTGCACCGTCTCTCCTCGCTCTCAGAGCCCTACTTGAGGGAGCGCGGGTTTGGCTACCGAGCAGCGTTCATAGTGCAGACCGCATGCCAGCTTCACCAGAGTATGTGATGCTGTGCCGTGCGGTGCTGTGCTGTGCTGGGCCGTGGTGCTGTGCTGTGTTGTGATGTGCTGTGCCCTGTCATGCTCTCTCTTCTATTTTTCAAGCGTTCTCCTCCACACTCCACTTCTCTTCTGCTGATAGCCATCCCTTCCCACCACCCCTCCTCCTTCGCTCGCCCTACGTTCATCACAGCTTCCCACACTGACTCGCATCCTCCCCACACTTCCTCCCACCAAACTCTTTCGCTCCCTCCCTACCTCTCCCCCATCCTCCCCACCCACACCCCCCGCTTTCTCCCTGCACCCAGTGCAAGCCACAAGCGGCACAAGCGGCAGTGAGTGGTTGCAGGCGATGCGGCAGCAGGCATGGCAGGAGGTGGAGCGGGAGCTGTGTGTGCTGCCAGGCGTGGGCCCCAAGGTGGCCGCATGTGTGGCGCTGCTGTCTCTGGACCAGCATGCTGCTGTGCCCGTTGACACTCACGTCTGGCAGGTGCGGTGGAGTGTGGTGAGGTGCGGTTGTGGTTGGTAAGAGGTGGGAGGTTGGGTGGTAAGGTGCGCTGCTGGGTGGTAACTGCGGTGCCAGTTGGTTGCATGCGGTGCTGGGCACATCTGCTGTGCTGTGTGGTGAAGTGCGGGTCTGGGTGATAAGCTGCTTGAAAGCAGGTTCAAGACAGCAGGTGTGGCAGGAGGTGGGGAGGCAGCTGTGCATGCTGCCAGGCGTGGGCCCCCAAGGTGGCGCGTGTGTGGCACTGCTGTCGTTGGACCAGCATGCTGCCAGGCGTGGGCCCCCAAGGTGGCGCGTGTGTGGCACTGCTGTCGTTGGACCAGCATGCTGCCAGGCGTGGGCCCCCAAGGTGGCGCGTGTGTGGCACTGCTGTCGTTGGACCAGCATGCTGCCAGGCGTGGGCCCCCAAGGTGGCGCGTGTGTGGCACTGCTGTCGTTGGACCAGCATGCTGCCAGGCGTGGGCCCCCAAGGTGGCGCGTGTGTGGCACTGCTGTCGTTGGACCAGCATGCTGCCAGGCGTGGGCCCCCAAGGTGGCGCGTGTGTGGCACTGCTGTCGTTGGACCAGCATGCTGCCAGGCGTGGGCCCCCAAGGTGGCGCGTGTGTGGCACTGCTGTCGTTGGACCAGCATGCTGCCAGGCGTGGGCCCCCAAGGTGGCGCGTGTGTGGCACTGCTGTCGTTGGACCAGCATGCTGCCAGGCGTGGGCCCCCAAGGTGGCGCGTGTGTGGCACTGCTGTCGTTGGACCAGCATGCTGCCAGGCGTGGGCCCCCAAGGTGGCGCGTGTGTGGCACTGCTGTCGTTGGACCAGCATGCTGCCAGGCGTGGGCCCCCAAGGTGGCGCGTGTGTGGCACTGCTGTCGTTGGACCAGCATGCTGCCAGGCGTGGGCCCCCAAGGTGGCGCGTGTGTGGCACTGCTGTCGTTGGACCAGCATGCTGCCAGGCGTGGGCCCCCAAGGTGGCGCGTGTGTGGCACTGCTGTCGTTGGACCAGCATGCTGCCAGGCGTGGGCCCCCAAGGTGGCGCGTGTGTGGCACTGCTGTCGTTGGACCAGCATGCTGCCAGGCGTGGGCCCCCAAGGTGGCGCGTGTGTGGCACTGCTGTCGTTGGACCAGCATGCTGCCAGGCGTGGGCCCCCAAGGTGGCGCGTGTGTGGCACTGCTGTCGTTGGACCAGCATGCTGCCAGGCGTGGGCCCCCAAGGTGGCGCGTGTGTGGCACTGCTGTCGTTGGACCAGCATGCTGCCAGGCGTGGGCCCCCAAGGTGGCGCGTGTGTGGCACTGCTGTCGTTGGACCAGCATGCTGCCAGGCGTGGGCCCCCAAGGTGGCGCGTGTGTGGCACTGCTGTCGTTGGACCAGCATGCTGCCAGGCGTGGGCCCCCAAGGTGGCGCGTGTGTGGCACTGCTGTCGTTGGACCAGCATGCTGCCAGGCGTGGGCCCCCAAGGTGGCGCGTGTGTGGCACTGCTGTCGTTGGACCAGCATGCTGCCAGGCGTGGGCCCCCAAGGTGGCGCGTGTGTGGCACTGCTGTCGTTGGACCAGCATGCTGCCAGGCGTGGGCCCCCAAGGTGGCGCGTGTGTGGCACTGCTGTCGTTGGACCAGCATGCTGCCAGGCGTGGGCCCCCAAGGTGGCGCGTGTGTGGCACTGCTGTCGTTGGACCAGCATGCTGCCAGGCGTGGGCCCCCAAGGTGGCGCGTGTGTGGCACTGCTGTCGTTGGACCAGCATGCTGCCAGGCGTGGGCCCCCAAGGTGGCGCGTGTGTGGCACTGCTGTCGTTGGACCAGCATGCTGCCAGGCGTGGGCCCCCAAGGTGGCGCGTGTGTGGCACTGCTGTCGTTGGACCAGCATGCTGCCAGGCGTGGGCCCCCAAGGTGGCGCGTGTGTGGCACTGCTGTCGTTGGACCAGCATGCTGCCAGGCGTGGGCCCCCAAGGTGGCGCGTGTGTGGCACTGCTGTCGTTGGACCAGCATGCTGCCAGGCGTGGGCCCCCAAGGTGGCGCGTGTGTGGCACTGCTGTCGTTGGACCAGCATGCTGCCAGGCGTGGGCCCCCAAGGTGGCGCGTGTGTGGCACTGCTGTCGTTGGACCAGCATGCTGCCAGGCGTGGGCCCCCAAGGTGGCGCGTGTGTGGCACTGCTGTCGTTGGACCAGCATGCTGCCAGGCGTGGGCCCCCAAGGTGGCGCGTGTGTGGCACTGCTGTCGTTGGACCAGCATGCTGCCAGGCGTGGGCCCCCAAGGTGGCGCGTGTGTGGCACTGCTGTCGTTGGACCAGCATGCTGCCAGGCGTGGGCCCCCAAGGTGGCGCGTGTGTGGCACTGCTGTCGTTGGACCAGCATGCTGCCAGGCGTGGGCCCCCAAGGTGGCGCGTGTGTGGCACTGCTGTCGTTGGACCAGCATGCTGCCAGGCGTGGGCCCCCAAGGTGGCGCGTGTGTGGCACTGCTGTCGTTGGACCAGCATGCTGCCAGGCGTGGGCCCCCAAGGTGGCGCGTGTGTGGCACTGCTGTCGTTGGACCAGCATGCTGCCAGGCGTGGGCCCCCAAGGTGGCGCGTGTGTGGCACTGCTGTCGTTGGACCAGCATGCTGCCAGGCGTGGGCCCCCAAGGTGGCGCGTGTGTGGCACTGCTGTCGTTGGACCAGCATGCTGCCAGGCGTGGGCCCCCAAGGTGGCGCGTGTGTGGCACTGCTGTCGTTGGACCAGCATGCTGCCAGGCGTGGGCCCCCAAGGTGGCGCGTGTGTGGCACTGCTGTCGTTGGACCAGCATGCTGCCAGGCGTGGGCCCCCAAGGTGGCGCGTGTGTGGCACTGCTGTCGTTGGACCAGCATGCTGCCAGGCGTGGGCCCCCAAGGTGGCGCGTGTGTGGCACTGCTGTCGTTGGACCAGCATGCTGCCAGGCGTGGGCCCCCAAGGTGGCGCGTGTGTGGCACTGCTGTCGTTGGACCAGCATGCTGCCAGGCGTGGGCCCCCAAGGTGGCGCGTGTGTGGCACTGCTGTCGTTGGACCAGCATGCTGCCAGGCGTGGGCCCCCAAGGTGGCGCGTGTGTGGCACTGCTGTCGTTGGACCAGCATGCTGCCAGGCGTGGGCCCCCAAGGTGGCGCGTGTGTGGCACTGCTGTCGTTGGACCAGCATGCTGCCAGGCGTGGGCCCCCAAGGTGGCGCGTGTGTGGCACTGCTGTCGTTGGACCAGCATGCTGCCAGGCGTGGGCCCCCAAGGTGGCGCGTGTGTGGCACTGCTGTCGTTGGACCAGCATGCTGCCAGGCGTGGGCCCCCAAGGTGGCGCGTGTGTGGCACTGCTGTCGTTGGACCAGCATGCTGCCAGGCGTGGGCCCCCAAGGTGGCGCGTGTGTGGCACTGCTGTCGTTGGACCAGCATGCTGCCAGGCGTGGACACCCACGTTTGGCAGGTGCGGCGGTGCTCTACGTGGTGAGGTGTGGTGCTGGGTGGTACGAGGTGTGATGCGGGTGGTCTTGCGGTGCTGGGTGCTAACTCCAGGCTTTCTCACAGGTACTATGCGAGCAGCATCAAGGGCAAGGCGCTCACTGTCCATGCGCAAGCGCCTTCTTGAGTTAACACAAGAGCCACTCCACCCCAACCCCTTCCCTCCCACGCGTCCCCTTTGCCCCCATCCAGCTGGCTCAGAGGCACTATGCGAGCAGCATCAAGGGCAAGACGCTCACTGCGCGGGTGCGAGTGCAGCTCACGCAGGCGCTGGAGCAGGTGTTTGGGCCCATGTGTGGCTGGGCTGTCAACGCCATGTTCGCCTCTGAGCTGCCCGCTGTCAAAGCACGCTTCGCTGCTGCAGGCGGTGCCACAAGCAGCTTGCTTTTGAAAGAAGAGCATATAATTGCTCCGGATTGTACCGCCTGACACCTAATTAATTTTGGTGAGTGGTTAGTTATGTTGTCTTATATTTGTAGCTGTTCCTCCCCCCTGTCTAGGCTGTGTGTACGGTATTGCTGTGGGTATTTTATTGTGTGCCTTCGAGTATCTGTGGTGCAGGTTAATTTGATTACAACTTGCAAGATTGGTCTTGTTTTGCATAAAATGAAAAGACATGCAGACCTATAAAAGACATAAAATGAAAAGACATGCAAGAGTGGTACTATACATACATATTAATTCTTGCAGACCATGCAGGTGTGGGATTGGCCAATGCCCAAAACAGACAATCATGCGGACGAGCAAAGGCCACAAAAGGCGAGGCCATTGTAATATACACTGGGCAACCAAGGTTGAAGCAAAGAATAGACAAGGCACAGGCAAGCTAGCCAACTTGAGGCAGCTGGCAGCAGCTGCTGCAGTCATAGAAGCCACAACAATGGCTTTTGAAAGAACACAGGTGGTAAAACAGCCGGATTTGGAGGAGCTGGGTGACGAACATACACGTGAAATTACACAGTCACCCTCCTCACACTCACGCCCAAGCCCCTTGCAGCCCCCTCTCATCATGCAACACCAGTGGGTTACCCGTGCCTCTCTCCGCCAGAGAAATCAGCCATCGTGCCACAGCAGGGCCGGAGGCACTGAACCGCCCCCCGTTGGATGCGGAGGAGCGGAAGGGCGAGGCGAGCGCAGACAGGCACGCCTCCACCTGTGTCTTGATGACACTTGTTCCCACCACCTTGCTGTGCCTCCCCCACCCCGTCAGCACACTGCAGGAAACGGAGAGGGGTGAGGAAGGAGAGGTGGAAGGGGAAGGGAGAACAGAAGGGAAGGGGATAGGGAGTACATGAGAAGGGGGCCGCCACCTGTAACTTGATGGCACTGGTTCCCACCACTTTGCTGCGCCACCCCCACCTCGTTAGCACATTGCAGGAGACAGAGGGAGTGAGAGGGGAGGTGGGGAAGAAGAGAGTGGGGGGAGAGGGAACAATGTATGGTGCCGCATGCTTCATACAAGGATCGGTCGCGCATGGAATTGAAAGAATGGAATACCCAGGTGCCCAGGCACTCCGTTCTGCCCTAAGCACTTGCCTGGCTGGTGCTACGTTCTACTTACTTCAGAAGCCGGGGTAGCGGGTTAGCACTGTTGCCACCACCACCACCTCCACCACCACCACCACCACCAGCACCGGCGCCGTTGCTGCTGCTGCTACTGCTGCTGGCGGCAGAGTTGGCACTGGCAGTAACGGCAGAGGTGGCTTGAGAGTGCGAGGAGAGCACGAGGCGCTGCAGGTCGAGCAGCCAGAGGTGAAGCATGGCCATGGCAGCACCCACAGACATGAGGTGCAGGTCCAGCACCCACTCCTGCGCCTCCGCCTTGCTCCACACCGCACCCTCGTACACCCCCACTCGCCTCGCTCCCCGTGTCACCCTCACTGCTTGCGCCCTCTGTTACCCAGCGGAGGAGGTGCAGGGGGGGATATGCGGGAAAGGAAGGAAAGGAGTGTGATGCTGGTGAGGAATCCACGAGCTCGTGTGATGAGATGAATATTTGCGGTGCTTTTTTAGGTGCTTTAAAAGCCAGCATGGTTGTCAGCCTCTCACCCCTTGGATGAAAACAAGACCCGAGTGAGCTGGGCTTGAGTCGCTTCTCCAGTCCCCCCTGAAAGAAACATGCAAAGCATGCAGTACCTGGTTGAATCGCCAAAGCAGGTCGTTGAGAGCGTTAAAGAAGGCGATGGAAGTGGAGGAGTCCAGTGCTGCCACTGCCACAAACAGCTGCACCACCTCGCCCCGTGACAGCACCCGCACTCCCTGCACCACCTCCCCACCACCACCACCACTGCTGCTGCTGCTGCTCCGAGCCTTGCTGTTCCGCGCCTCTTCCCTAGCCTCCTCGTTCTCCCCACCATCCGCGTGCACGCACCCATGCAGCATAGCCTCCGCCAGCACATACACCCCTGCACTCGCCTCACTACTGCTTGCAGCCCCGCCAGAAGCAGCAGCGGGCTCCGAAGCCGTTGAAACAACTGTGGTAGTGGCAGAAGCAGTCGTGGTGGTGGTAGCAGTTGAGGCGGGGACAGCAGCGGCTTCAAATGTGGAGCCCATCTCGCGAAGGAGCAGGGCTGCGTCTCGCCAGTTGGAGAGACGACTGAGAAAGGGGTGAATTGAGTGTGAGGGCAGCGTGGGAGGGGTTATAGGAGGGAGCACGAGAGGATAAAAGCAGGGATATGGATGAAGGGAAGGGTAGACAGAGAACGGGAAGAGAATGAAGGGAGAAATAAACGGAGAGGAAGAGAGACAGAGAGAGAGAGTGAGGAAGGGGAAGCGGGGGATAAAACTGCATGTCTGTACCCCTGCTGAATCAGTACAACGGACCGTTTGAAAGAGAGAGTGAGAAAGGGGAAGCGGGGGTGTGGGTGGTGTGTGGGGAATGAAGAGAGAAAAGGAGAAGAACAAACAGTGGCAGGTAGAGCCGACGCATCTACTCACCTGCAGGTGGAGAGCATGGCAGAGAAGGTGACAACGTTGGGGCGAACGCCCGCTGCCTTCATCTCTCGGAACATGCGCAGTGCTGCCTCCAACCGCACCTCCCTCCTCCCCTCCTCCTCCTCCTCCCGAGCCTCTGCATTCTCTGCATCCTCCTCGTGTGTCTTTGCTCCAATTTGCTCCCTCTTGCCACCCTTGCCCCGTGCCTCGCTTGCCGTCACCTGGTTGAGGGACCAACGCAGCATGCGGAAAGGCACAGCTTGAGTTGGTGTGTGTGTCAATGTGCACGTGAGGGTGTCAACAGGTGAGGGTGTACAGACGCACTCGTGCCGATGTGAAAGAGTACACACGTGCAACAAAAAAACAAACAAACAAACAGGTAGGTGGTGGAGAAAATAGGGAGGGCGGGGCGGGGCAGGGAGTGGGGAGGGGCGACCTGGCGACCATACCTGGGTGGAGCGGCCGAGGGCGTCAATGAGCGAGTTGTATGTGACCACGTTGGGCTGCACACCGTCGTGCAGCATCTGGCGGAGGACACTCATGGCCTCCTCCACCTTGCCCTGCTTGCCATGCGCGTCTATGATCGCACTGTACACCACCACGTCCACCTGCTCACATGCACAGACGCATGCACACATTGACATGCACATAGTCATGCACGTAAAGAGGTGAGTTTTGAGTCGGCTCAAAAGTCAAATGTCACCTCCTCCTGCTTGCCATGCGCGTCTATGATCGCACTGTACACCACCACGTCCACCTGCTCACATGCACAGACGCATGCACACATTGACATGCACATAGTCATGCACGTAAAGAGGTGAGTTTTGAGTCGGCTCAAAAGTCAAATGTCACCTCCTCCTGCTTGCCATGCGCGTCTATGATCGCACTGTACACCACCACGTCCACCTGCTCACATGCACAGACGCATGCACACATTGACATGCACATAGTCATGCACGTAAAGAGGTGAGTTTTGAGTCGGCTCAAAAGTCAAATGTCACCTCCTCCTGCTTGCCATGCGCGTCTATGATCGCACTGTACACCACCACGTCCACCTGCTCACATGCACAGACGCATGCACACATTGACATGCACATAGTCATGCACGTAAAGAGGTGAGTTTTGAGTCGGCTCAAAAGTCAAATGTCACCTCCTCCTGCTTGCCATGCGCGTCTATGATCGCACTGTACACCACCACGTCCACCTGCTCACATGCACAGACGCATGCACACATTGACATGCACATAGTCATGCACGTAAAGAGGTGAGTTTTGAGTCGGCTCAAAAGTCAAATGTCACCTCCTCCTGCTTGCCATGCGCGTCTATGATCGCACTGTACACCACCACGTCCACCTGCTCACATGCACAGACGCATGCACACATTGACATGCACATAGTCATGCACGTAAAGAGGTGAGTTTTGAGTCGGCTCAAAAGTCAAATGTCACCTCCTCCTGCTTGCCATGCGCGTCTATGATCGCACTGTACACCACCACGTCCACCTGCTCACATGCACAGACGCATGCACACATTGACATGCACATAGTCATGCACGTAAAGAGGTGAGTTTTGAGTCGGCTCAAAAGTCAAATGTCACCTCCTCCTGCTTGCCATGCGCGTCTATGATCGCACTGTACACCACCACGTCCACCTGCTCACATGCACAGACGCATGCACACATTGACATGCACATAGTCATGCACGTAAAGAGGTGAGTTTTGAGTCGGCTCAAAAGTCAAATGTCACCTCCTCCTGCTTGCCATGCGCGTCTATGATCGCACTGTACACCACCACGTCCACCTGCTCACATGCACAGACGCATGCACACATTGACATGCACATAGTCATGCACGTAAAGAGGTGAGTTTTGAGTCGGCTCAAAAGTCAAATGTCACCTCCTCCTGCTTGCCATGCGCGTCTATGATCGCACTGTACACCACCACGTCCACCTGCTCACATGCACAGACGCATGCACACATTGACATGCACATAGTCATGCACGTAAAGAGGTGAGTTTTGAGTCGGCTCAAAAGTCAAATGTCACCTCCTCCTGCTTGCCATGCGCGTCTATGATCGCACTGTACACCACCACATTTACCTGCTCACATGGCACAGACGCATGCACACATCGACACATGCACATGCACATGCGCATAGCCATGCACGTAAAGAAGGGACGGGCTGAGGAGCTAGCTATGGCATGGCACATCCACTCAGCTCAGTGGGGAGCATGGAAGAGGGCAAGGGAACTAGGGGCAGAACATGGGTGCACGAGTAAGCGGAGAGGAAAGGAGCGAAACAGAGTGGGAGGAGGAGGGGGAAAGGAGGCAGGGGGTGGGGGGTGAGGGGATGAGCAATAAGAAATACTGCGGCATCTGAGCCCTCACCAGCAGGCCCGCCCATCCCCACAGTCCTGCTGCTGACCGTTTCAGGGGCATTTCGCATAAAACCACATGAAACCACATGCAACCACATGCAACCACATGCAACCACATGCAACCCACCTGCGGGCCCATGTCGCGGTACTGCTGGAAGAGCGCGGCCGCCTCCTGGTGAATATGTCAGGTTTGCTGCTACTCCACTATGAGCCTGAATCCTTAAGAAGACCGAGGGGAGAGGCTTGCCATGAACCCCTACCTGCAGCCCCATGTCGCGATACTGCTGGAAGAGCGCCGCCGCCTCCTGGTGCCTTCCCGCACGGGACAGCGCGGTCACAACCGCCGACAGCGTGAGGACATTGGGCGTGAGCCCCTGGCGCTTCATGGCGTGGAAGAGCCGCATCACCTCGTCGCAGCGCCCCGCCTTGCCGTACGCGTCCAGCAGCGCGTTGTGTGCCACCACGTCCAGCCGCCACCCCGCCGCCTCCATCTCGCGCGCTACAGCTATGGCTTCGTTCAGCCGGCCCGCCTTGCCGTATATGTCAAGCAACGTGTTGTATGTCACTCTGGGAGGGGGAGAGGGGGAAAGGAGGGGTTAAATTGATTGTGAAGGCGCCTACGGCATCCTCATCTGGCAGCTGCTCTGCCATGCTGTAGATATGTGCAAGGAGAGCGCAAGGAGTGTGCAAGAAGGGTGCAAGGAGGGTCTGGTGTGGGTGTACCTGTCGGGGCGCACCCCTGCGTGCTGCATGGTGTGGAACACGTTGATGGCACTGGACAGGTCGTTCACCTTGCGATACCCGTCTATCATCGTGCTGAACGTCACCTGTAGGCACACATGCATGCATGCATGAGGACACAGGCAGACATACATGCACGCACGAGGGCACACAGGCAGACGCACGAACACATACGTTTGAGAAATCTAAAAAACAAGACAGGCCAGGCGGCAGGGAGAGGAAAGGTGAATTCGCGCATGCACAAGTTCGATTGGGGGGAATTGAAGGGTTGTGGGTGGGTTGGAGGGGTGGGAAGAGGAGGAAAGAACGGGGAGTGAGAAGCACCGCACCGCTTCGAACCACACCTCACTGCACTGCACAACACAGCACTGCATTCCAGTAATGGTTGACTAGCAGTCTATAACAACCCACCACGTTGGGTGTGACGTCCGACTGGGCCATGGAGGCAAAGGCAGCAGCAGCAGGATTTGTTTTTTGAGAATTCTAAAAAAATAAAAACTAGCGGTCCACAACAACCCACCACGTTGGGCGTGACGTCAGACTGGGCCATGGAGGCAAAGGCAGCGGCAGCAGCGTCCATCTGGGACGCCTTGCAGAGCGCGTCGATGAGCGTGTTGAACGTGAATATGTCCCGCACCAACGCCACCGCTCCCTCCTCCTCGCCCCCCTCCTTCCCCCGCCGCCTCCCGTTCTGCCCCTGCTGCTCCTTCCTCCCGCCCCGGGAACCCGCTGCCGCTGCAGCAGCAGCAGGAGCAGGAGCAGAAGCAGAAGCAGAAGCAGTGGAATCAGCACTGCCTGCAGTAGCAGCAGCAGCAGCAGCAGTAGCAGCAGCAGCAGCAGTAGCAGCAGCAGCAGCATTAGTGGCAGCGGCACAGGCTTCTTGTCCCATTAGTTCGAACACTCGTAGCGCCTCCTGCCACTGCCCTGCCCTGCTGCACACTGCCATGAGCGAGTTGTACGTTATCTGGTCCAAGAATGGGGCTCCCACACACACACACGCACACACGCACGCACGCACGAGCACGACCACACGGGGAACACACAAGGGAAGGGGAAGAGAAACAGTATCAGTGGCGCTGCAACACAAATCAGGGAGGAATTCCCCTCGAAACGGCATAGGCATGGCATAGAAACCGCTGCACATCTTCTCAATCACTCCTCCTCTCCACCCACCACCACCTCTCTTCGTTTTCGCCCTCCCCCTTCCCTCCCTCCCCCTGCCCCCACCCTCCAACCATCCCTGCACCCATCCCCCACCCATCCCCGCACCGCTCCCACCCTTCCACCCGCGCTCTCACCCGGTCAGGTGCAACGCCAAGCTCCTTCATCTCATGTACCAACGCCCATGCGCGCGCCACCTAGAGGTCTCAAAAACCTCCATCTATCCCTGCACCTTCCCTGCATGCATACCCGCACCCATCCCCCATCCGCCCACCCGCCCTCTCACCCAATCAGGTACGATGCCAAGCTCCTTCATCTCGTGCACCAGCGCCCATGCGCGCGCCACTGAGAGGTCTGAAAGTTCCTCCACATATCCCTGCACCCACCCTGCATGCATCCCCGCACCCACCCACCCACCCCTCCACCCGCCCTCTCACCCGGTCAGGTGCGATGCCAAGCTCCTTCATCTCGTGCACCAGCACCCATGCACGCGCCACCTCCGCCTCGCGCGCACCTTTTGAGGCACGTTAGTCCCCTTACCCTCCACCCATCCCCCATCCCCCGTGCACCCACCCCCCACCCACCCGGTCAGGTGCGATGCCCAGCTCCTTCATCTCGTGCACCAGCGCCCATGCGCGCGCCACCTCCGCCTCGCCCGCGCCTGCAGCGCCGCCCGCCTTGGCGCACGCGTCAATGGCGGCGTTGTACGTCACCAGGTTGGGGCGGCACCCCGCATCCCTCATGCTGCGGAGGAGTGCCAGTGCATCCGTGCTGCGCCCACTACGCCCTGTTCTCATGGGACACGTGGGGAGGGAAGGGAGAGACGGCACGGGGGAGGGGGGAGAGAGGGGGCATTGCTGTATTGGCGATTGTTACAGCCACAAAAGTAGCAGCAGCATCTGAAAGCGAAAACAACAAACTGCAACCGCCTCCTGGCAAGCAGCTCACCACTCACTCACCATAGGCGCTGATGAGCGCAGAGAAGGCGTAGACGTTGGGCGGCACTCCAAAGGCGCGGGCGCGGTCAAAGACGCGGCGAGCGGCGTCCACCTGGCCATGGCGGCCCAGCACTGCTATCGTGGTGCTCACCAGCTTCGCCCAGTCGCCCGCCCCGCCCCGCCCTCCCCGCTTCACCCGAGGACTCTCCTGCAGGAGGGAGAATTAGGGAGGAGAACATGAGAGGGGAAAAGGGAGGATTGGTAGGGATGGGTCAATGGATGGGTGGACTGGGGGGGTGGGGGGAAGAGAGAGCGAGAGTACAAAAACAAAATGCTGGAATCTGCTCACATGTCAAACCCACTCGCGAAAGCATGCACAGAATAGATCATCCGCTAAGAAGTAAGGGAACAAGCAAGGCAACTCACGAGCAGCCAGTTGAAGCAAGCGAGAGTCTTCTGCCACTGCCCGCGGTTCCCCAGCTCCCTGAATATATACGACCAGTTCGCCAGCGTTGGCTCTCCTGCCCCCTGCTGCCCCTGCCCCTGCTGCTGCTGCTCCCTCTGCCATCGATCCAGCACCTGTGACAGTAGCACGTCACACTCCTGCATGTCCTCGCTGCTGCAGTTGCTGCTGCTGTCGCTGCTGCTGTCCCCGCCACTACTGCTGCTGCTGCTGCTGCACGTGCTGCTGCTGCAGGAAGCAGAAGAAGGAGAGGTGACGACGCCAGTGCCGCTGCTACTGCTACTGCCGTAGCAGAAGGGGTCCGGGAGAGCGAGAATCTCCTGCACCACGGCTTCAGCAGCGGCGCTGTGGTTTCCCGAGTGTGCGCCCACTCGCCCGTGGTGGAACTTGGACACTGTGCGCGCAGGCCTCCTCCTGCTGAAGTCCCCGCCCAGAGCTGCACGGAACAGATGAGGTGAGACGGATTGGGTTAGGGGTGTGTGAGTGTGATGAGTTGGGTTGAGTCTTCTGCAACGGCCCGGCGGTGGGGGGACGGGGGGGAAGGGTAGAGGGGAACGGGTGCGGGGCCGGGAGGAGGGTGGAGAGGGTAAAACCTGGGGAAGAGCAAGAAACGAGGGAACCTAACTAGCAGGAAAGGAGGGAACTTAACGTGGCTACGTACTTACCGCCAATGGCCAGGGGGACGCTGGCCTCAGCGAAGCTCCTCGCAGACGCTGCCACGGCTGCTGCCGCAGCCTCCGCAGCAGCCGCCGCTGCCGCCGCGTTCGTCGCGCTAGCAGCCAACGCCGTACCGCCACTGATCCCCCCTGCTGCCTTCCCCACTCCCACTACTGCTGCCGTCGCTGAGGCCGCTGCCGCTGATGCCGCCGCAGCCGCCGCGGTCATCACTCCGCCTCCTCCGCCTTTCCCTCCTTTTCCTCGCCTTAACTCGCCGCCCCCTGCTCTAGACCAGTTTGCGCCTGCGCTAGCTGCGCCTGCGCTAGCTGCGCCTGCACCCGCGCCAGAAATCCTACCCGCAGGCCCCGCGCGTCCCCCAATCTCCCCCGCCCTGCCGACTCCCCCAAACGCGCGGCTTCCCCCGCGGAACGGGCCGTGCGCGGAGCCTCCGGAAGAACCGAATCCGGCGGAAGCGGCGGCGGCGGCAGCCGCAGCCGCTGCTGCGCCAGACGCGGAGCCGGCGGAAGCAAGTCCGCCTGTGGCCGGCGGAACGACCAGCGCGGCAGCGCGAGCCCCCGACAAGCGCGCAGAAGCATGGTGCTGGTGGTGATAGTGCTGCTGCTGGTGGTGGTGCTGCTGGTTCTGGTGACGCTGATGGTGGAAGGATTGGGCAGGGCTGTGATGGTTCTGGTGAGAATGACCCATGGCTCCTCCCATTCGCACTATACTCGTACCTCCAGGCCTACCCAGCCTCTCATCGTCCAAAGTAGCTTCCAAACCTCCTGTTCCCGAGGCTCGCGGAGTGCCGGACCGAGCAGACGAAGGGCCGCGGGGGTGCTGGTGGTAACCACCTCCGCTTCCGCCATGCGCGTGGGTGCTTCCGCCAGGCCCGTGCGGGCGCAGCCCCGCTGCCCCGCGGAAGGGGCGCGGCCCGGAGGGCCCCGCCGGTGTCGGGAGCGCGGAACGGAGGGTGATTATAGAGAGCGGGGTCGAGGTGGAGGAGGAGGGCGCGAACAGGCGCGTTCCTATATCGAGCAGCTTCGATCGGCACGCAAGAAGCAAACGAGGATGGAGATTCACGAAAAGGTTCGCCACGGCTCCTCCTCCTCCTGCTCCTGCTCCTGCTCCTGCCCCTGTCCCGGCCCCCGCGCTTGTCGCTCCTCCTAATCCTGCGCCTAATCCCGACGTGGATAAGGAAAGAGCAGCCCCTTGTCCTTTCACAAAGCCAACGTGCCGGCCAACCGCACTGAAACGAGTCGCCTCTTCCTCTGTCTCCTCCCCCTCCTCCTCCTCCGCATCATCTTCCCCCTCAACATTGCCGTCTCCGCCCACGCGCGCTTTCCTGGTCGCCTTCCGGGCCTTCCGGACCTTCTTAGGCCCGTCCCGCTTGCTGAAGCGGGCGATAAAGCGGGTCGCCGCAGAGACAACCGCGGCGCCTGGTCCGCCGGGGGGAAGGAAGCCGAGAGGAACCTTCTGGAAGGTCGCAGCGGCGCTGCGAAGCCGAACTATGGCGACGGGGGCAAGAGTACCCCCGGGAGACACGGGCATGGCTACTGCTGCTGTTGCTGCTGCTGCTGCTGCTGCTGCAGATGCTGTTGGAGCTGCACCCGCAGACGAGGAAACAGCAGCACGCGACGAGCGCTTTAGATCGTCCAGCCTGTCGGACTAGGAGATCCTAAGTACGCGCAACAGAAGAATTTGGTATCTAATAGCGCCGTGAAAATCGCAGCTTCAGAGAGGGTCTGGAAACTCACAGATGCAGGGCGAGGGGCGGTGGGGGGTTTGAAATAGAACCCTAAATGGCGAGTCTTGAGAGCGGGCGACGACGCAATGTGGAAATACAACTTCGGCTGACAGAATAACTCCACTCAGAAAAACGGCAAACGCCTAACGGCTGGAAGAAAAGCCAGCGCTTGGTGCTGCTGGGGGCAGCACAAGATGAATCACGTCCTAGGGAACGAACACTCCCACCGGAATGTAATGGCGGGCCGCTGAGTATATGTGGACGGGCTGACTGCTATACAGTCATGCGCAAATTCCGCGACGGCTATTTCTAGGCTGGTAACGGATGCACTGGATAAGTACACGTCCAGCCTAATCTGATGGTAATGGCTGCCTTCGCGAAAAGCGGTTCTGAGGGTAAGTAGCAGCTGTTTCTCCGTCCCCTTGCAAGGCCATCCTAAATGGCCGCCCGTTTGAGGAGAACGGCGGAGCTCAGGCGCTTGGAGAATCGTAGAAAATAGTAGAGCAAGGAGGACCAAGAGAGGAGACGGATGACAAGGCGTATGTCAGCTCTTGGGAAGTTGAGGCGGAAACGGCTGCAAGTATGGAAGCAGCAGTAGGAAGTTCGGGCTTTGACTGAAGATGTGTTGAAGTGGTGGCAAGATGGGGACAATCGGTATATTACGGTGCATTTTGACACCACCAGCTTCTGAGATCTCAGTGGCAAAATCCAGGCTCTTCTGCTTGTGGTCCCAACCAAGCAGAGATGCCGACCAGCATGTGCAGAAAAAACCCAGCCAGACCTGTTGCGACGACTCCACGAACATGTATCGCGAAGAGGGTTACCAGGCCGGCGTGCAAGTTGCAACGGTGATGTGACGTAGGAACTTACGAAGCAGAAAATTGCGAGGTTAGGGAAAGGTTCGGAAGCTGAACGAGCCAGACGCTGGTTTAGAAAAGGGAGGTGTGTATGTACGCATCCGTCAGCCCATGGGCTAAGCCTAGGCTGGACACAGAATGATTCAGAATGACACCACCAGACCAATGGAAACCCTTTGCCCACCATACGGATGATTCACCAGAGCCACAATATCTTCCGCAGCAATGGTCGCATCGCATCGCATGTATGGAAATGACGTACGTACAGTATCGTTGCACTCCTTTTGAGTCGTCGTCACCCCCTCGCGGTTGTTATATGTCTCGTTTAGCTGCCGAACCAGAACGTGATGTGATTTTGTGGTTGAGACACGAGCACGTGTATGTACAGTGACTGCTTCGGTGGGATGTGAGGATGAATTGGCCAGCCAAAGCCGAACCGAGGAGTTTTGCTTTGGTCTGTTGCTTCTCTTCCACGCAAGCTTGAAAGTGTTCCGTTGCTGTGACCAGTTATGCGACTGCGGTGCATGATTGTACTAAGGGCGTTCCTACGCTCTTAATCAGGTAAACCTCTTGTCAGGTTTGCCTGGTAAAATTCGCGAAGGTTTTCGGGTTTAGGGAAATTTCAGTGTGTTTTGACGCGGGCCTGGTAACAGGTTGGCCTGATAAGGGGCCGTAGGAACACGCCCTAACTAGAGGATATTGGAATTTTTTTGACTTCGAAAACCACTTGGAAGAATAACAGCAGAATATGGAAATTTTGAATCTTGCAAATTCAACATGTTTTTTTGTGCATGCTACGCCACTTATGGATTAGGATTACACCTTTGCATGGAGCCAAGCACATACTATAATAGTATCTTCTAAATATGTACAAGCCATGGCAAGCAGGGGAAACACCAGCAGAGCACTAAGGTTCTCTCAGCACCTTCATAGCAGCAGCACGCCTGGCAGCTTGAGACATATCCACAACCTCAAAGTTTCTTCCATGCACACCATGGAGCGAATGCAGATCATCATTATCCCATCCTTCGTTGGGTGCACCAGTAATGTACCACGGGGAGCCATTGTCTGCTAGCATCATGCCATATGTCTGGAGTGCTTTCAGGACTACGCGGGCTTGAGGGGGGAACTTGGACGTGTCAAAGGACTGGTGAATGGACACACAGGGAACGAGGGGGGGAAGCAGAGCGATAGTAAGCACAGTGGAGTGGAGCAGTGATGGAGAAACAGGCCACACAACTTCACACTTCCACGAGCAAACCCTGCATCGTACCACAAGACATTCATATTGCACCTTGACATGACAAGCCCACCCACGTCACACCCCATCCCAATTTCTACTCTGATATCTGAGCAAATCACCTCCCAATTCCTCATTCAGCTGCCCTCTCTTCCCCTTCTCCCTCCCCTCCTCCTCCTCCTCCTCTCCCCCCAACCTCCCCCCACCCCACTCTTTCCCCCATGTTACCGCTGCCGTGCAGCCATCTTCACCCTCACCTTCTTGAGCCGCACTCGGATGCCCATGGGGGGCTGCTTGCGGTCGGTGTTGCTGCTGGCGTAGTGCCGTGCAGGCCACACGTACTTGCGCTGCGTGCTGCTTGCTGTAAACCTCAATGCGTGCCGAATGGCACCTGCCTGCACCTCCTCGTACCGGGCCAGACCTGGGAGGATCTGTGATGCGAACGGCAAGGGAGGGACCAAGGAATGGTAGGCGGGAGAGGTGCTTGAGGCGATTCGAAACAGGAACGGACTTACTGAGATTCCAAGTACCACCACCATTCCAGGCACTAGCACTGCAACATTCAAGCCATGCTCCCACCACACTAAAACTACACTCCCACCCAACATTCTCAACCGCTCTCACCGGCAGGCCGGCAGCATCAGCGGAGGTCCAACCCGCGGGTCGGAGCTTGTTGGACGTCAGATTCCATACAGCCCCACTCCCTGCTGACACTGCAATCAGGGGGCCGGGCCGCGGGTGGTAGGGGTTCATCAGGGAGTAGAGGGAGTGATCACTGGTAAAGGTTTTAAACACATAACACGCAGCAGCGGGGCGACAGCGGCAATAGCAGCAGCAGCAGCAGCAGCAGCAGCAGCAGCAGCAGCAGCAGCAGCAGCAGCAGCAGCAGCAGCAGCAGCAGCAGCAGCAGCAGCAGCAGCAGCAGCAGCAGCAGCAGCAGCAGCAGCAGCAACAGCAGCAGCAGCCGCCCAACTTGGGCGCACTGACCTTGGGAGTTGAGCTGTGAGTAGTCATAGATCTCGTACAGCATGCACTGGTCCGTGTCCACCAGCAGCACGTGGTGGTCCGACCCCCCCTCCACTAACGGGGAAGCTGGTACGGGGTACGGCCCAGCGTCGCTTTCATCCGGGTAGTAGAAAGTCGGCGAGGTGGTGGACGTGGAGCTGCTCACGAGGTTCACGGGAATGCCGATGGGGTTCCCGTCCCACAGGCCTGCAGTGGTGTGCACGGGAGGGAGTGGGCAGGACGTGCGTTTGAGTCGACTCGAAAGGGGTCGCTTTCATCGGGGTAGTAGAAAGTGGGCGAGGTGGTGGGCGTGGAGTTAGTCCCGAGATTCACGGGAATGCCGATGGGATCTCCATCCCACAAGCCTGCAGTGGTACGACATGCAAGGGAGAGAATGGGGGGGACGTGGCGGAGGGAGGGAGAAAGGGCGAAGGGAGGATGAGGAGAGGGGAATGAAAGAAGAGGTAGAGAGTACGGTGACACGTGCGTTTGCCAGTCTGGAGAAGAGAAAGCTGTGATTGGAGAAAGGGGAGAATGGTTGGAAAGGGATTGCGGATTGTGAGGAAGCGGGGACGAGAAGAGAGGAGTGTTGCTTGAGTCTTGACGCCATTGTTAGTAAGACGAGTCGTGAAGGGAAAAAGAAGAAAGGGAAGAGTACCTGAGCCGAAGTCCGCGTGCACGTGCGCGTCGAGTCCGATAGACGCGAGGTACACCTTAGACATGGCGTGCACGGGTAGTTTGTCGACGCGCATGTTCCACACGTTGTTCGCGGGGAACACCGCGCATCCCGACACTTCAGGCGGCGGACCCGACGGCGGCGCGGGGGTTGTACGGCGAGCGTGGGAGCAGAACGAGCGGTGCAGGAAGCAGGGGAGGTCGCTCGCGAGGGAAGGCGGGGAGGTGACGAGGGGGAGGAGCAGGAAGAGGAGGGGGAGGGGAAAGGGGAAGCGAAGCGGGAAGTAGGGGGAATGTCGGAGTGGAGGACGCGCGATTGTGGCGACGCAGACGGAAGCTCGGCTCGCCATGGAGGATGGACGCGCGGATGTCATGGAATGCAGCGACACGACGGTTATGTGCGATGCTATTGCTTGGGAAACGGCGGCTCTCGTGTTTCTCCTTGCAGCGTTGATACGCAAACGGTGACGCTACATAATGCGCAGGGCATATATGAACGACCTTGCAGGTTAGCGGGTCTGCTAACACAATTGCACTGTTGCCTCGAAAAAAATATCGCATGAAGAGGGCCGGCCAGAACAGAAGAAAAGTAGGTGGAAGTGGATGGCGGGGCGGCGCCGCTACTGTGAGGGAAGGAAAGGGAGTGGAAAATCACATCGAGTACGACAGGGAAGTTCGCCACGAACGCAGTTATCGTGCGAAAGGCGTTACATTTTTTCAAGGATTCTTTTGTTGGATTGTTGCAACATCGTTCAGCTGATACACCTTAATGTTTGTATAGTTGCTGGTTGACTAAAGTACGCATTTCATAGAGTCCATCCATAACGGAGATGAATCAAGCCGCGAGGCCTGTCAGCTCGTGGCTCGGGTGGTGCTGATCCCGCCAAATGCACTTCTTGATTTACAGTGCTGTCTGTGTGTTCGTTCGAAAAAGGGCAGGGCAGGGCCCACCAGACCAGAAGCCCCGAAAAGTGAACCGTTGCTATGTTTGCTTTGGGCCTGGTTCGGATGGCATCTCGGTGAAAATTCAACCCGCGCATAAATATCTCGGAACCGACCGTGAAGTGCCCCCGTGGAAGAGAAAGTGGTTCCACGTTGCAAAAAGCAGGAGGAGCTTGTCCATGCCAGAGTGTGCTTGGGAAGGTCTTTGTAGAGGGGGTAGGAACTTGAGAAAAACAAACGGGATTTCGGAGAGTGGATCTTGAAAACTGGTCTCTCTGGAATAAATTGCAGATTTATCACAAGCAAGTATCCCGGGCAAACCATCCAGGCTCGTACGTACCAAGCCCCCTCCCATCCAAACCGAGATTCAGCGAGTAAAGGCGGCATTCATAGAGAATCGCAGACCGCAGAAGCCTTTATTTGTGAGCAACATGGCCAATAGTAGGTCTCGACAAGTGCAAAGATAGCGAAGCAATATCATGAGCAGTCGTGAGGAAAGCAGGCCAGAACAGACCTAGTTCTTGAACGTACCCTGTGCAAGCATTCTTTTAGAATCTCCCAACCCGTCAGCTTTCTTGCAGCGTTTGCTTCAATCGGCGCATTCAGAAGCACCGCATAAGGCTCCTCTAAACGTTTCGAGAAAGCCTCGTACCGGCAACTTCCCCCTCGCGGTCGCACCGTTGGCACCGTTGGCACCGTCGCACACAAGAACCGAGGCCTCACCCTTGGCGTTTTGCATTCCGTGGCTCACTCTCCGTCATCAAAGCCCCGCCTCGTTGGGCCACCGCATGAGAAGCCACGCCGCGACTTCGGTCCACCACACAGCTCCGCTGGGCTAGTAGCAGAGTCTGATCCTCAGTCCCGTCCGGCGACCGCAGCCGCAGGAGCGACGGCAGGAGCACTGCGAGCTAGAAAACCGCTAGCAATCAAGGGTTTTTTGGCGAACGCTACGAGAGTGAGGGGTTGAGTGGGGGAGGAGGTGGGGGGGGAGAGGGGGGGGGAGGAGGAGGAGTAATCGACAGAGCATCTGCCCCTTTGTTAAGGCCAACCACTATCAGAGTGAACTGGCTGCATGAGGTCGTTAATGTGCTAGAACCCGGCGATTTTATTCGGCTCAGAAAAGCTTTTGAAACGATTCGCGTTTTAAGGCGAGAGGATTGGAGCGGTGCCGTCGTCGTCACCGCCACCGCCGCCGCCGCCGCCGCTGCCGTCGCCGTCGTTGTTGCCGTCGTGGTCGCCATGGGGGACAAGGGCGCGACACGGGGGTTCATCACGACGATCGCGCAGGGGCTGCCGGGGAAGTGGTTCCTGGTGGTGTCCACGGCGTCGCTCTCGTCCGGCGCCATCTCGCCCTCCTTCCTCTCCTGGAACGAGTTCCAAGAGTGGTGGTGGCCGCAGCAACAGTGAGCTTCACTCGCCTTTCCCCTGTTTCGATACGTCCCACATGCCGAGTTTTGAGAATTCTCGAATCTTATGTTTGGAGGCGCCTCAAAATTCTCGTCCGGGGCCATCTCGCCCTCCTTCCTCTCCTGGAACGAATTCAAAGAGCGGTGGTGGCCGCAGCAACAGTGAGCTTCACTCGCCTTTCCCCTGTTTCGATACGTCCCACATGCCGAGTTTTGAGAATTCTCGAATCTTATGTTTGGAGGCGCCTCAAAATTCTCGTCCGGGGCCATCTCGCCCTCCTTCCTCTCCTGGAACGAATTCCAAGAGCGGTGGTGGCCGCAGCAACAGTGAGCCCCCCTCGCCTCGCCGCTGTTTCGAGACGTCTCACATCTTAGTTTTGAGTCGTTTCGGGTTTCGTGTTCTAGATCGTTATAGATTCTGGATTCTGAGACGACTCAAAACTCTTCTCCGGCTCCATTTCGCCCTCCTTCCTTTCCTGGAACTGGTTAAAAGAGTGGTGGCCGCAGCAACAGTGAGCCGCCATTTCCTCCCTGCTCCTTCTGTCCTCGCTTGTCTTGCGCTCTCCTCTCTCCCTCTCTCCCTCCCTCTCTCCCTCCCTCCCTCCCTCCCTCCCTCCCTCCCTCCCTCCCTCCCTCCCTCTCTCCCTCCCTCCCTCCCTCCCTCCCTCCCTCCCTCCCTCCCTCCCTCCCTCCCTCCCTCCCTCCCTCCCTCCCTCCCTCCCTCCCTCCCTCCCTCCCTCCCTCCTGCTCTCTCCATCTGTAACCCCCGTTTCTGAACCATTCCTCACCCTCCCGCCATCCATTCTCCTCCCCTCCCCGCCCGCTCCCCAATCCCCGGCTATCCCGCCGCCAACCCCGCCGTTCACCAGTCAAATCGTGGCCGTGGGGTACGGCTGCAACGTGTGGCGCGCAGCGTACGCGTCCCACGTGTTCGCGCTGCAGACGTGCAACTTCTTCCCCTCCTTCGACGCCGCCTCCAAGTACATCGTGCGCCAGTCCGAGCACGGCCTGCGCGTGACGGCGCTGGCGCAGGGCGCGGGGCAGTGGTTCGTGGTCATGAGCAAGGGCGGCGCCATGCCCGCGCTCTCGCAGGGGCTCGTCTGCTCCACCAGCCTCGCCGACTTCATCCGCACGTTCCAGCGGGTGCGTGCGTGCGTTGTGCGCGTGAGCCTCTGCGTGTCTGTGTGTGCGTTTTCTTGCCTTTTCCTACTCTTGAGCCGCCCTCGAGTGTAACAGGGCCTCGTGTGCTCCACCAGCCTTCCGGATTTCAAGCAGACGTTCCAGAGGTTGACAGCGCGTGCGTGCGCTGCATGAGAAACATGCTTCCAAGCAGTCTCAAAACTCCTCTCCACAGTTTGCCCTCTCGTTATTTCCTCCCCCCCTCCTTTACATTTACCCCTATTCCCACTCGGCCCCTCCCCTTTTCCTCCCCCACCTTTCCTCTTCCCCCTTCCCCCTTCCCGCCCGTCCCTCTCTGCTCTGCCTTGGCAGGGATTTGAGGAGCACGATCGTGTGCCAACGTGTCTCGTGTATGGGGACGGCCGATGGGTGGGTGTATGGAGTGCAGTCAGGGAGGGCGTAGTGGCAGGCGCTGGCACAAGCGGCGGCAGCAGCAGCATCAGCAGCGGTGGCAGCAGTCTGACTTCCCTTCACCACAACAGCAGCAGCAGCGGCAGCGGCAGCGGCATCACCAGCGTGTTTGGCAGCATGGGATTCGGTGCTGGAAGTGCATCGAGCGGCGGTGGCAGCAGCGGCAACGGCCATGTGCATGGGAGCAGCGTGACGCCTCCACCGCACGTGGTTACCAGTAGCAACTCCAGCAGCAGCAGCAGCAGCAACAGTGGTGGTGGTGGTGGTGGTGGTGGTGGTGGTGGTAGTGGCGGTATCGGTGTTGGTGGTAGTGCGGGGCAGCAGAGCAGGTCGCTCAAGTTTGTGGTGGTGAAACAGTCCTCTGATAACGCCCTCGTGCTGAATGCGCTAGAGGATTCATACTCCATACTGGCTGTTGCGTCATCGCCTACAGCCACTCTTGTGGCCCTGATCAAGGTACGTCTGCTGCTGCTGCTGCTGCTGCTGCTGCTGCTGCCGCTGCTGCTGCTGCTGCCGCTGCTGCTGCTGCTGCCGCTGCTGCTGCTGCTGCTGCTGCTGCTGCTGCTGCTGCTGCTGCTGCTGCTGCTGCTGCTGCTGCTGCTGCTGCTGCTGCTGCTGCTGCTGCTGCTGCTGCTGCTGCTGCTGCTGCTGCTGCTGCTGCTGCTGCTGCTGCTGCTGCTGCCGTGCTGCTGCTGCTGCTGCTGCTGCCGTGCTGTTGCTGCTGCTGCTGCTGCCGTGCTGCTGCCGTGCTGCTGCTGCTGCTGCTGCTGCTGCTGCTGCTGCCGTGCTGCTGCTGCTGCCGTGCTGCTGCTGCTGCCCACTGCCACTGCCTCTGCTATGGCTCGGGCTCATCCAACGGGTGGATAGTGAACAACGTCAGCGACCGCACTCCCTGCTGGTATCCCATGCTCTCATGTATGCCCCCCTCCCTCCCCTCCCCCATTCCCTCCCACATTCTCCCTCCTTTCCAGCCAGCCTTGTACCGCAGTCAAGTCGCCTACCACTGCGACGGCTCAGGCTCGTCCAACGGGTGGATCGTGAACAACATCAGCGACCGCACGCCGTGCTGGTACTCGCAGCTCACACTCGACTCGCCCGCACACCGCCAGGAGTTCGCCCTGCACCGCACCGTGCTCGCGTCCTCCTCCGCTGCTCTCTTCCGCCGCCCCACGCCCCCGTCCCCCTCGGCGCAGACTCCTGCTGGGAGTGCAGCGGGAGGAGGGGGAGGAGGAGGGTCCGGAGGTGGTGGTGGGAAGGGGAATGCTGCTGGTTCTGGTGGTGGGAGTAGTGGTGGAGGTGGTGGTGGTGGTGGTGGTGGTGGGGTGGGAGGGTTTTTTGGGCGGTCTGCGTCAGCAGCAGTGAGCCAAGGGACGCTGACTGCCACTATTGTGACGCGGGGGGGCAGCAGTGCGAGCAGCGGTGGTGCAGTAGGATTGAGAGGAGAAGGAGGAGGAGGAAGTGGGCATGGAAGAGGCATGAGTGGAGGAGGAGGGAGGGGAGAAGGGGGAGGAGGGATGGCAGCGAGTGGGTGTGTGCCTCTTGTGTCGCATACTAGTCCCAGCCGGTCGCCTTCTCCTGAGATTGGATGGATTGAGTCGAGTAATGGAGGTGCTGGTGCTGGTGGGGGGAGCGGCAGCAGCAGCAGTAATGGCAGTGGCAGCGGTAGTGGTGTCCTTAAAGACCTCCCACAGCAGCATCACCAACAGCAGCAGCAGCAGCAGCAGCAGCAGCAGCAGCAGCAGCAGCAGCAGCAACAGGGCGGTGCGTTGCCAGGCAGAGCAGTCACACCAACAAGACGAGCAGCAGGAGGAACAGCAGCAACAGCAGGAGCAGCAGCGGTGGCGGCAGTAGGAGCAGCAGGAGCAGCGGCAGGAACAGCAGCAGGGGCAGTGGGGCAAGGCACGGGTGGGGCAGGGCAGGGATCAGCAGCAGCAGAGGCAGCACCACAGCATGTGATGGTGGGAGGGTACGTTCACCCTCTCATCAAGCCAGGGCCCTTTGCCGGACTCTGCATCCTGCCTTAGTGGGTACGTTCACCTCATGGGTCGTGCTGCCTACCCACATCCATCCTGCCTCCCACTTGTGCTGCTTCCTCCACCAACACACAATCTCATGCCCAGGGCTGTGCCCCCAGGTTACATGCTCGGTTGTGATTAAGGATCAAAGGCATAACTTGGAATTTACTGGGGATGTTTTCGGCGGATTCTGACTGGATACAATACGAGAAACTCAGTGATTGTTTATTGAAACGCCTCAGTTTCCTTCCCTTCCAAGCTTCATGCCTAATGCCACAGCCACCCCGTTTCCCCTTCCCGTGACAACTGAGGCCTCCCTACTGCCTTCTCAGTCGTTCTTTTCTTCATTGACCGATTGGCCCACTACCGTACCAGTACATGAAGACAGTAATGCATCAGCAAGCGCATATATCTCATTCCATACTATGTGAAACATAGCTTGGGGATTCCTGAGTGGAAACAATGCAATGCAATGTGAAGTGAACCATAACCTTATCGCAAACATGTATAAGCACCGTATGAGACCTATATAACTTGGCACACATTCAGGCACCAGTGTTTAGCATAGCACCTACCAAGGCACATTTTCAAGTACTCACTCTCACACTCTCCTAACCACCTATCTCAACCCTCCTCCCTTCCCTTCACATTCCCCCCTTCCCCTCCCCTCCATTCAAACATACTTGTACAGCCCCCAGGCTAAACTAAGACCATCACCATACCCCTTTCTCCCATACCCCATCCCTTATTCTTCACCAATCATCCCTCACGCGCGGCACGGCACAGCAGACGGACCCACATCATAGAACACAGTCGCACGCATCGCCACACCTTCCCCTCCCTCCAGCAGGGGCGGGTGAGTGAAGCACCTGAGCTCAAACACCAAGGAAGAGAAGGACGACTCAGCCGGCCCAAAGAACACCGCAGCCTCCCTCGCCACTGCCTGTTCCACCGCAGCCTGCATCTCATGCTCGGGATGCAGCGCAGATAAGAACCTCTGTGCGTCGGTGGTTGCTACGGAGCGATCGGATCGCAGGAGAGCGTCGCGGTAGGTGATATGGAAGGAGGCGGAGGTGAGACGTTTGAGGATGGCTGCGCGCTGCGGTGTGTCGCCGATCGTGACGTAGAGGAGGGTGTGGGCGGGGTTGAGCACTGAGAGCAGCACGGACAGCAGCCGGTCAGTGCTGCTGCCGCCCGTGATACCATTGCTGCTGTTGCCGCCGCTGCTGTTGGCGAGGATACCGCTACCACCACCGGGAGCAACGGCAACAGCAGAGGCTTCTGCGAGTGAGTCTGGGTTGATGTGCACGACAGCAAAGGAGAAACCCACTAGCTCGCCGAATTGCGCCTCGTGGGTCTTGCGCAGCAGGTGCAGGAGGTTCGCGGAGAGCGATGCGATGGGCTGCGCAGGGCGCATGGCTGCTAAGCCGTTGCGGCGCAGGTGCTGCTGGTCACGCGAGGTGAAGGGGATGGGCGTGTCCGCGTCCAGGAGAATGAGCTTGACCTGGTGGGGTCGGGGGAAGAGCGATGGGAATGCACAGCAAGGGATGGGACGGAATTTGAAGTGTGCAAATGGTTGGTGAGAGGGAGAGCGAGGTGAAGGGGATGGGCATGTCTGCGTCCAGGAGAATGAGCTTGACCTGGTGGGGTCAGGGGAAGAGAGACGGGGAGGCATAGGAAAGGATGCGACCAGGGGAGGGGAGGGATGGAAGGTGTACAAGTGGTTAGTTAGTGGTGGGACAGAGAGCGAGGTGAAGGGGATGGGCGTGTCCGCGTCCAGGAGAATGAGCTTGACCTGGTGGGATTGGGAAGGTGGGAAGGAATGAGATAGAGGTAGGGAGAGATGGAAAGGAGCACGAGCGCCACATATCCACTATCTTCACCTCATGCACCACCCTCCCTTCACGCCATCCTTCCACTACCTTGCCTCTCTCATTCTCTCCTCACTTGCTTACTCCTCACCTTGTATGCCCTCTACCGCTCCCACTGCCCCCTCCTCTCACCTTCCCGGCTGCAGCATCGTCCCTCATCTTCTCACTCCAAGCAGCAATGACAGAAGCAGCATCACCAGCACCAGCACCAGGAGCACTTGCAGCAGCACTGCTACTGCCACCGGCGCTCAATGCAGCAACCACTTTGGCAGGGATGCGCTGGGCTGCTGGCCCAAGAGCTTGAATGAGCGCAGGCATGTTGCCAGCCGTGGCGTTCGCAGGGAGAGAGGCGATAATGGAGGCCGGTAGCTGGTCAACCGCCCAGGACTCTGGAGGGGGGAGGGGGGAGGGGGGAGGAGGCGAGGGGGGAGGAAGAGAGGGTGGACTTGTGAGTTGAGTGAAAAGCCGTGCCAGGTGCTTGGGGTGGGGTTAAGAGGTGGCAGAAGTCAGTAATGGAAGAGGTTAAGAGGCGGAGGGGAAGTTGTGGGCTGTGGAGCGGTTAAGGCGGTAGGTGCTTTGAGAGAAATGAACAGAGACGAGAATGACTGACTAGCTTATTTATGAGAGAGCGCGATGCAAGTGATGCCGGAAACGTGGCAAGAGCGTGGGGAGAAAATGCAGAGGGATGAAGTAGGAGAATAGAGGGAGAAGGTTGGGAGCTTACTGGATGAGCAGTACATCTGGTGGTGGAAAGAACAATCCCAAGGTGGAGATTAGGGAGGGCCAGCACCATTGTTGTTGCACCACATGTGAAGAACACAGGGAGCACAAAGAATGTGCACACACACATACAGAGACACAGAGAGCGGGAAATAAATGAGTGTGTGACCAAGTCATAGAAATTTGAGACAACGCAAGGAATGTTTGTGCGTAATAGATTCTAATGAACACAAGAGAAACCAGTTTACACCAGTATATGCCACTCACATGAGTAACGAGTCTGTCTGTATCGAGGTATTGCTGCAACTTCGTCTGCTTCATTGCGCCCGAATCGAAGCTCAGGAAAAAAGGCGGCAGCAGCAGCACGGATCCCGTCGCCTTTGCCGCCCACATGCCACGTAAGAGCGCCTCCTGCTGACGTGTAAATCCTGGCCGCACGCCCAAGAGCGCGAGATAGGGCCACGAGGACTGGGCAGCTGCAGGGGACGAATGCAGAAGGGGAGGGGAAGGAAGCGGGGGGGAGGGAAGGGGAGGAAAACAAGTGGTGGAGGGGACAAATTGAGGAGGGAGAACAGGCTTTGGCAATAAATGCGGGAGGGAAGATGTGGGAGGGAGAGAGAGGGTGTGAGCGTGAGCTTGCTGGGCACAATGCAAGGGAGAAAGGGCAGCAATCAGCCGCATCATAACTATATTAGGCGCCTCAAAACAAGACGTACCCATGGCAGCGAGTTTGCTGGGCTCAATGCAAGGGCGGAAGGCAGCAGCCATGGCGTCGTCAGGCACCTCATCTCCTTGCGCCTCACCTCCGCCTCCCCCGCTCCCCTCCCCCTTCTTCCTCTGCTGCTCCGCTCTCGCCCGGGCTTCCCCTTCCGCCTGTAGCTCCTGAACCCCGCCCGCCACGTGTCCGAAGCCGGACGTTTGTGATGCACCAGTGGTTGTAGCAGCGGTTGTAGCAGAGGCTGTAACAGCGGCTGTAGCAGCGGTTGTAGCAGGGACTGCCGCAGCGACTGGGCTTGAAGCAGTGCTAGCAGCAGCGCCAGAGACACTGCTTGTAGCTGCGGCCTTGGTACCAGCCACGGAAGCACTTGCAGGAACATCTGTAGCGCCTGTGACAGCTGTAGCAGCTGTAGCAGCTGTAGCAGGTGTAGCGCCTGTAGAATCTGTCGCATTGTCGGAACCACCGCCCCACAATGCGTTTGGAATTTGCGCCCCACCGCCCGCCTCCAGCTCCCCTTGGAGTTCCGCCTGCCCTGCGCTCCCCGCAGTCTTCCCCGCGGGCCCGCCTACTGCCTCCCCTGGCCCCGCTTCAACAGGCGCACTTGGCAGCGCTGTCCGCGCGCGATTCCCCTGACCTTCTTGCTCCAGTGTTCCTTCCGCAACTCCTTGACTCTGCGCCGGAACTTGCCTCTCCGCCATCGACTGCCCCTCCGCCGCCACTTGCCCTTCCGCTGCGCCAAAATCTCGGTCTTGCACCACGGAAAGCTCTTCCCTGTCCGCTTCCGCGTTCCCCGCGCCAGTGTTGTACCCTCGTGACTCTTCCGCGATCCCATCCACCTCCGCCACCGCCGTTCCGCGCATACCATCCGCTGCGCCCGCTCCGACTTCCGCTCCCCACGTCCCTGCGCCATCCTGGGCGGAATCTTCCCCCCACTGCGCTGCAGGCGGTTGCTGCTGCGCCTCTGCCGCAAGCATCTGTTGCGCTTCTGCCTGAGCCTGCTCCGGGAACGCTTGCCCCGCAATCTCCGCGTTCTCCGCTATCTCTCCTTCCGCCATCGGTTCTTCCGCGTGTCCCTCTGCCTCCTGCCCACCCATAGCGGACCATTCGGGTTGGTCGTCCGCCGGCGCAGGAACCCGAGGCGCGGATGTTCCCTCTGGCCCTTGTGGCGGGGTCAGCGGCGGCTTCTGCGGCGGCACGAACGGCATGTCCAGCGGCGGCTCCTGCGGCAGCTCATGCGCTTCTTGCTGCTGCTGCT